GGGCAATTATTGTAAGTTTTTCGCTTGCCATTCCATCTGTTCTCAATTTCGCTTTAAGTGCTACCGCCCAACGTTGCCGCAGCCTCTGCCACGCCTTGTTTTCAATTAAATGAACACACCCCCGGAGATGCCCTCCTCCCAATCCGTTGGTTGGTTTCATTATTACCGAGTTGCCAAATACAAACAAGCCAAAAAAGCGAGGAGCAAAAACAAAGAAAAGCGTAAAATCCATGAAAATTGTTGCCGCAATATTGAAAACGCGCCGTATTTGGGTCTCCGTTTTTCCCAAAGTAGCCCACTCCATAGGCGACCAACGTATAACCCAGTACAAATTGAGCAACAAATCCACCCACCACCAGTACCACCATCACCCATCATAACCCACCGTTGGAAAAGCAAGAAAAACAATCGGCAGCAGATTAAGTTCATGCCATGCTGCAGTTACATTTACAGTTACAGAATTCCAACATTCAGAGCCCCTTAACACCCAAACTTCCCACTTTTCATATTCATTTTTGCACATTTTGTGTTATACTCGTATGTGGGCCAAAACAAATGTTGCCCGAAACCGATTTTCACCCGAAAACTGGGAAAACCCATTCTGAGCATCCTTTCAGAGACTCTTTTCGTTTGCGCTTTTCAGGATCATTGGCATCGGGGGGTTGTGCTGAGCAAACGTTGCGAAAATATGTCACAACATTTGTTACACATTTTCGGGTCAATTTTTTATTGCAACAGGGGGGTAAGAACCGCTCCCCTTGCATAAGCTGGCCAACACACCCACATGATCCGAAATCTTGTCACAGCTGCCGGCAACTGCCTTTCCTTGACAAAACCCTACCCATATCCCATATCCCTTATAGCCCCTCTATGAAAACCCTTCTCCCTTTGAATGTCATTGACACTAGCGTGTCTTTCGGTGCTTTCAATTAAAATCCATTCAGCTGTAAAATCGTAAACAGTTTTGTGCAGAACACCCATGGGTCTGCTGATAATGGTGATGAGAAAACTATTTTGTCACTCTTAAAAATACATTGCTATCGACTGCTGCAAAATAAGAAGAAAACAAAGCTTCGAGCTGCTCTAACTCGAATTTCCAGCTGTGGCAATTTAAAAGGGAGCAGTCAGTTTAAAATGGGAAAAGAAAATTGTTGTGAAAATTAAAGAAAATTTGCTTTTATAGCACGAAAGTTCTTTGCTAGATGGTATTAGAAGTAGAAAGTAGTAGTAAGAAATGATGAACTACCAAAAAATCTTCATAAAACTTTATAAGTTCTTAAAAAATAGAAATTTTATTAATATATTTTAATTTATAAATCCACCAAGTAAAAGTTGAACTTTTTGATATGAAATCCTATATCCTATCCCGATTCATAGGAGAATATAATATTTTTTACTTTGAAATATAAATTTTTAATATTACTAATATCATTCAAATTCAATTTCTAGTCTCTGAAATTAAGTTATTTAGCCTAAATTTAATGCACTACTAAATTGCCATTTAAGGAGACCTGCGTGACAATTGAATATGCCGGACTCATTGGCGTTTTACCTACTGGGTATCAACACGCGAGGCAGGCTGAATAACTGCAAATTAATTATGCACAACAAACAGATGACCCCCAACTGGCGAGCGACGACCCGTGTGGCAGGAACAACAATATACATTTTCCATGTTCTATGGCGCAGCACAACAACGCAAAATCCAACGTCTACGTCCGCCGTCCGCCGTCCACCGTCCACCGTCCACCGTCCACCGTCCGGTTGTCCAGTAATTGTTGCTATAATTGTTGTGCAATCCCCCAAACCCAAGCCCAAGCCCAATTCCAATCCCCAAACCAAAAACTCAAGCCCAGAGCTCAGACCCCACCTCACAAAAGCCGTCACGAATCAGCCTAAGCTAAGGCAAAAAGGGGATGGAACGATCTGGAGGCTGCTTCGCCAATGTCGACCGCAAATTAATTTACAACGTAAACTGCAAAATTGAAAATTATGTTGTAATTACTCAATTCTGACGTTTTTCCCATTGACCCAAATTTATGGGGCCGTGCACCAACACACTCATAAACCACCCACACACTGGCAAATATACATATATTTAACACAAGAGTTGAAGGCGCTTCCTTATAGACGCTTCTTGGCTTTGCTTTCGGATTTGCTAGCACTGAGAGAAAATGACCAATCAAATATTCAAGAAATGAACTATGGTAATAAGCTCTGTAAACTTAAATCTAATGTCTAATATAAAGGTTAATAAAAGGTTCATTTAAGAAAGAATACAACTTATTTGAAGACAAAAAGGTAGTCGAAAATTCTTTCAAAAGTATATATTTATCTAGCAAAGAGATGCCTATTCCTCAAAGTGTAAGCTCCCTGTTCATGTCTGGCCTCAACCTTTGTGCCAATTTAAATGCGTAATTATAACGAGTGCCAGAGAGCAGTTAGAGTCCGTTCTGGCCTGCATATTAATTACGTTCACGGCGCCGCACAAAAGCGGAGCAATGAAAGGGGAGGAAATCTTGGCAGGACCAAAGCAGACAATAGGAATTTTAATCAAGGATCAGCGTGCTCGAATTTATTTAAAGGTAGGCCATCCAAGTCCCACCACTCCACTACCATCTTGGCCCCTCGGCGCTTTGGTTGGTAATCTGGTCAGCGTGTTTCAGGCATGCTATGAATGCCATTCCCTTGCCCCTTTTTCTCCACTATAAATGCTGGCCAATTGTGTGAGGCTCCGCCGCGAAGAGGGGACAAATAAAGGCTAATTAAGAGCAGAATGACAAGGCGAAGAAATGGGTTTTCATTGTTACTGCCACGCAACAGCCTACATACTCGTATAGTGCTATAGATAGCAGAATCTTACGATCTGGATATATTGGCTCTGTTTTTTTTTATCAATAACTGGACACTTAACTCGAGTTGCCTTATTTTACTATCAAATTTTAGTTTCCATGGGACACATTCAACATTCCTAACATTAATTTGTTTTTGATTTATATTTGTCTTTTTTTTTTTTTTTTTATAAATGGAGTTATTTGCTGTACTCAAGGTCATAATATAATATGCAACCAACCCAACAAAAAGAAGTTTACAACCATTAGTTGTTTCGTAAGAACACACAATATTAAATATCTTTAAAACTAATTATATTTAAATGCAAGATGTTACACAAGATTATTTGCCATTTGAAATGCAAGTTTTTCTGTTAAATAATCGTGTAGAGCTAAAAATATAATATTCGACTGTATTATATGCAGGTTGCCTTTTCTAAAACATTAAACCGACACAATTCCAAGAGTTTCCGTAGTGTAGCGGTTATCACGTGTGCTTCACACGCACAAGGTCCCCGGTTCGAACCCGGGCGGGAACAATCGGATTTTTTTATTTTATTTATTATTTCTTTTTTTCTTGTTTTTGTTTAATTATTACCTAAAAATTAGTTATAGATTCATTTATTTAGTATTTATTTGAAATAAGTTAGTAATTATTTTTATAAATCCAGAGCGCTGTTCGAAGTAAATAAATTCATTTCAATAATTACCATTAAAGCAATTATTATTTGACCTTATTTTTCTGTAATAACCTTAATTCCAGTATAATAATAAAATTATCAAATATTATTAATAATTATAATGGTGATAGACTGGCGCTAACACAATTACATGCTATCACAACTGCCCGGCTTTTTATATCAATCATTGTGCAATTACATAATATTTTATATCATATACAAAATATAAAGTACAAAACAAAATTTGTATAATTTTCTTATCTGTTTAATTTTTAATATTATTTGTATATTTCTTGAGATGTATTTTAAGAGCAATTCAAAATGTTAGCAATCGTTAGTTAACAGAATCATAAAGCTTTTATGCCGCCTTAACATAACATATGTATGCTAGAGCTTAAAGTTTTCGGGTCTACACTGTTCAACAAGGGTACTTTTGAGGAAAAATGCAAAATCAAACATTTAAAAATATAAAATACCACCTTTAGCTCTTCAAAATGACTCAACCAACTTAAGAACAATGTAAAGTTCTTATGACCTTGTTGACCCAACCATGAATCACTCTCTTCCCATTCACTTTTAATTGTATTTAAGAGAGCGTTTCTCTTGCTTTCAGGTAGTTACCACGCGCTTGTCCAAAAAAAGCTTTGCATAAACAAAACACTCAGAGCTTTCCAGTTTACGCACACTAACAATTACACTAACAATGTCACATTGGATGATTATCGCGGCAAATTGTACAATATTATGATTTATATATGTTGTAAATCATCACATCAAGCACAAGTTGTAATTCAATCACTCGAAATTCGTTGGGGTAGTCGATTTTATAAGTAGTTGGTAGCATTACCGAAAAATAAAAACCACCTATGCCGGTTGGAGGGAAAATTTCGCGTCCGTCAGCTGTGAAAGCTTATTGCCAAGTGAGGCAAATTGGATAGAGTTTTCAAGAGCAGGAAAGAGATATATGGGAAGAGAGAGAACCGGCATCGACACTCTACTCTACCTTATGCAATTGCTCACGTTTGTTTACCAAGTATTTCCCAGTCAATGATAAAAAAAAGTATATAAACTATGGATGAATGAACTTATCAGTTAGTCACATCCCCCCATTGATAATTCTCGGAATGCCAAGAGCTTACCATATTCGCACTGTTTATGAAAAATTTCATTGACGATCGTAATTCCAAAAGCTGAAAACTAAAACGCATGGCATTACACACCCACTCATCGTTCCAATGCAATTAAACCGATTAGTATTGTTTATCCAAACTCAATTAGCTATGGATCATTGGGTTCCGCTTGCGTAATGCCATCAGTTTCCTACACTAAACAAAAACATGTTGAAATTTGAGTTGCCAACTGTTGCAGAGAATATACAAACATGTATGATTTAGCTAGTTTAGTTTAATTTTAAATAAAATTGATAAGACTTAATTATTTCTCTTTGTCATATTAAATAAAATTATGTTTAGCAATAAAATCCAAATCATTGCGTTTTTCACTCATTTTATTTCTCAAAATTAAATATTAATAATTTAGTCAACAAATGCCATTTATCAGCAATGGTATGCGGTTAATAAATAGTACACTGCACATAGAACAGGAGGGGGGAGGGTCATTAAGAGTACATAGACTAGTGCGTACCTAAACCTAGGCTACAGTTACGGCTAAGGTGGATCAAGCTAGTGGATCAAGAAGGTGATCAATCCCTCGTATGATCGCGTATCCAGTCCAGATATTCAGTGACACGAGTATAGACACCTAGTAAAATGGGAAATAAGTTAATATAGGTCATATAGTTATTATATCCTTAGTATAACTTACCCGGATAACCAGGTTCGCCACACTTGTTGCCAAAAGATACCACTCCCAGTTGAACCCAGTGGGAATCGTATCGCATCATCAGAGGGCCGCCAGAGTCACCCTTTTCAATGAAGAAATATTAAAAAACTTTAGTATGTCTTTTAATAAAAAAGATTTCCAGTAACTCACCTGACAAGCATCCACTCCACCATCGGAGTAACCAGCGCAGATGAAGTTCTCGTTGATGGGCTGGAAGTAACTGCGATCGCAGTCTTCGTTTCGCCAAATGGGCAGCTCCGCCTGCCGCTGGCTAGTGGACTCCTTGCCACCATAGTAAGTAGTGCCCCAACCCACGACAGTTGCTCTACGTCCTGGAAGACGCTCCTTGGGCGGCATTCGAAGGCCCTTTGGCAGGCAGACTGGAATCACATACTTTGACTTCCTCACTGGCTTATCCAGGAACCAGGATGGCAATGTCGTTGTAAAAACCAATGCGGGAGAAGCTAAAATTAGAGAGTACTTTAGTAATGTTACATTTTGAAGAAAGAACATCACCTACCGCTCATGGGTGCGTACTTCCTTAACGGCAAAGGTCACGGGATCAGAGGGTTCGGCATCCGTGGAGAGATCAATGTCACCCAATCGCACTGTAAATTGACGTGCAGCAAATCTGAAAGAAGTCAGGTATTAACTCCCATTTGATAGAAGTCCTGTTAACTCTTACGGTTTCTGTCGCGAGTCTCGGGTACAATGAGCAGCCGTTAGGATATATTTAGTACCGATAAGAGAACCACCACACCAGAACTCCGTGCGCTTAGGTCCATGAAGGAAAATAGCCGCCATCCAAGGCCACTGACCATTCGGGGCCTCCACTCCGCCTACAATTCTCCCCGTGGAGTATTCCTGCTGACCACACTCATCGGGATCCACAATGTTATTGCCGATCTCCTCCAGACCCTCGGGCTCCAGTGGCACCTCTGTTGTAGTGGTGGTTGTGGTGGTGGGCGGTTTCTTTTGTGGAATCAAGACCAATCCCGAAGTGGGTCGTGTAGTGGGTCGAACAGTGGTCTTCTTGGTGGGTTGCGTGGTCTTGGTGGTGCTGGTGGTTGTTGTGGCTCGAGTGGTCAGCCTCAGAGGTTTCTGAGTGGTCAAAACAGTGGAGGATGCGGAAATGGGGCAACACACTCCCGGGACATAAAGACTCTTAAAGCAGAGTGATTCTCTCAAGCTGCTGAGATTAAGTAGCAGAGCGGGACAACTGCTGAGATCCTCACAACGACCTCTTCTTCCATTTGGAGTCTTGCAGTAGTTCTCCACATCCTTACCAGTTCCTGCATCATCATCACTAGCCTCCGCCAACTGATCCAAGGTGCTCAGAGTGATGGGTGCTTCTGTGGTTGTGGTAGTTGTGGTACGCGGGGTAGTGGGTATCTTAATCTTTTGCTGCGATTGCTGAACTCCCTGCACCACTGGGACCACTCCTTCTTCACCGGGCTTCTTGACCTTCTGCTTGTTCTTGTTCTTCTTCTTTTTCTTCTTCAGCTTGAGCTCCTTGTTCTCCACAAACATGGGTGATGTGTCATCAATACCGATTCTCTTAGTGGCCACTTGGACAACACTTAGATTAGCCGGCTTGCCAGCTGGCAGTAAGCTATTGGCAGACAGAGTTATGGGTAGAGTGTCCATCAATTTGCCAGAAACTCCTGCCAGTGGTTCGGACTTTCCCAGAGGAGAGGCACTGGAGGAGGGAACCATTTCAGTGGTGCTAGAGGCACTCAGTGTTGAGCTTGAAGGCCCATCCTGGCTCTTATCCTCACTCTTCTCAACTCCTTCCGTTTTTGCCTGATCCTGTCCTCCACGAGTGATATCTACCAGCATGTGACCAACATGATTAAGTGCTCCCAAGGTCTCTGAAATGCGATTGAAGGTGGATTGGGAGAGCAACCGAGGCAGGGAGTCGTTGCTGCCCTCCGATTGCTCCTCATCGCTATCGTAGTACTCGCTGGAACCCTCGACATCATCCTCATCATCGTAAGTGGAACTTGACTGACTGCTGCTGCTGGCACTACTGGCGGAACTCTGGCTCAGACCCAAATCCTCATTCAACTGGCGACCCAGTCGACGATCGTGAAGATGCGGCTGAAAGAAAGACGCTGCCTTAAGGGTTAAAGTTATGAATGCCCGTGCACAGCGAATCGCATTTTGATCACACTTACCGTCGTTGGTCAGATGTAGTGGCTGCTCCTCATCATTGGAGTCATCGGATTGCCCTCGGGCAGGCAGAAATGTTCCCAAACAAAGTGCTGAATAGGAGAGAGAAAATAATGAGTACAGTTTTTCTGGACATAGCTATAAATTATCTTTAATATTAATATATAAAGAGGAATTAAACGTTCAACTATTGAGGTTATCATTAGATATTACAATAGAAAGTAAATAAATATTTTTAAAAAATCAGAGCATTGTCATTATATTTACGGCAAATAAATTTCTGTAACCACCTAATAATCATTTTAAACAAGTTTTCCAAGAAAAATAACAACAGCTAATGACTCACATCAGAACTAATTAGCTGGTCGTTAAACTGACTAAGCACTTATTTGTTTTTAAGCACTTAATAAACAGAATAAATGTTATTTTAAGTGAGTTTTAATTAAACATTACGTTTAATATAGGAAATATTATCAGATAATTGTTATTAAAGATAATCATCAAGTATTGATAAGAGAGACTTATTTGATATATTATTGATTTTACTTGATAACAACTCTATGTAATATTTACTTTACTTTTCAGTTGAATTTATTTAGCACATTGATACTATTGCTTATTATTGTCATTATTTAAGTTGTTTAAGTTGAAAATAACAAACAAAAATTGTTTTTATAACCAATTTCTTAAAAACACATTATATTTGTAATGCCTTTTGTATTTTTCAAACTTTTAATTAAAAAAAAAACATAAACATATCGTTTTTAATGCCATTGTTGAGTGCACTTGTCGTTTGTCGCTTTATGAGTTACGAAACGCACTGCCTGCTACCATATGTTTATAAAGTTTGAAAGAAGGAAGATCCGCGAGCTCTTTACTGACCTAACTCACTTCAAAAACCGAACAATAGCCCTATGCAAAGTCTTCCGTCGTTGAATAATGTCACAAATTGGCATTACGCATCTGGCAAACCGCTACCACCCCCGAACACCCGCTTCCCACTTCCCTTGTCCCTTAAATGAGAAAGTATGTCGTTGTTCAACTGAAGCATTTAATGTTTATTTAGTTTTCTGTTTATTTTGCTTGGCTGCCGTGACATAATCTCTGTTCGTTGGGCTTGGATTGTCAGAGGTTTTTTATTTTTCGGTGGGCTTGTCTCTGTTTTCTTAATGACTCGACAAATTTTGGTTTGGTTGGGAAGATCACCCCAGATGAGGAACTTCCTCCCGGATGATTCTTTATGTAAGTTAATGAGACTCAAGGTCGGCAAGAGATTTCACCTCGCAGCGAAAGAAAACAAAATTGATTATCTTTCAGTGATTTGGGTTAAGCTGCTACAGTTTCGGTTTTTATTTCTGCTGCTTTATTTTCTGCTTTATTTTGAATTTCTTGTTTGGCTTTTATGCCAGATTCGAACGCGGCTCATTAACATTTTTCGAGGTGTGCACTGCAACTTTGCCACTTTCACTTGGAATAAAATTGCCCATACCAAATGGCAATGCTTTAGTTTGTTGCTGTTCGCCCCAACACAATGAAATATTGGCCAATTATAGGGCTTATATAGAAATGATTTCTTGGGAAAAGTGAATGCCCCAGAGGCCCCAACCAGACTAAGCACATTCGTTATGAATACGTGCTCTCCTTTCAGTTCATTGTTGTTCAGACTTTTGTGCATTTTGACCCAAAAAGATGTCACAAATTTCTTTCAAAGAAAAAAAAGTGAAAATAAAATTGAAAAATCTTCAAAATTAATTCCTAGGATTTTTATATGAAACTTAAAGTTTGTAAGTTGCTAAGAAATCTGAGTAAATCATCAAATTATATGATAAACATCAACTTTAATGCATTTATTAAATGCATGGCTAATAATATTAAGTATTACACTTCAATAAAACGTAAGACAAAGCCCTGAGTTTTCTAAGCTCCAGGTAAGTAATTTTCCAATAAGTTCATGGCAAACGAAAGTGAAAATCCCCAAGAAAGCAGTTGAGATGTCAACGCAGCTGGAAAATTACAAGCTAATCCCCACCGAGAGGGAAAAAGAGGGATCAAAAGAAAAAACACAGCTGCATTCACTTCCGAAGCGGCAGAAATAACATAAAATTGAACACTTCATGGTCAGGCCATCGCCTGGAGTTTTGGCACCGGCAACGGCCAAGACGGCCAAACGGCCAACAAACAGCGGCGTTGACAAGTTTTTTTTTTTTTGCATAATAGATGGTCAAGCCTGGCAGTGCGGTAATTCCAAGAAACACGTACACAAGTGTACTGTTCGGAGGGGGAAGCCAGGGGAGATCGGCGATTGGCCTTGGTGTCCGTATCTATGTGATTTGCATGCCAGCTGGTTTTTCTGACGTCATCGAGCGGAAGTTTTATTGGCAGTGGCGGGCAAAGAAAGTTGCAGCAACCTCACGTTGCACAGATCACGATGATGATCACGATCACAATCACCAAGAAACAAACCCCAAATCATCAGCTGCATTCGGACTTTCGTTGGATGCGCAAGTTCGTTGCCTAAGTCTTTTGTTTTCCTTTGTGACTTTTTTTTGCGCAGCACATTAGCACAAATTAACCATAAGTCGATCGTAAATTGTTACAAAATGATGCCCAAAACTAGGTTAATTATTTGTTAATTTCGGGGCTAGTCTATCATATATTATTATATTATATTAAAAATACCAACCCAGGCAGAGCAGTAACACCTTCGTTTGCATCTTGTCGAACATCAACTTAAAATGCAGTTTCCGTTTTCAGTTCACAAAAGCCGTTGAACATTTGCCGAAAAATGTGGTAGTTTCGTTCACTTTTTTGTTTACTATTATTTAACACACTCGACGAAAGGCGACCGCTGCGCCGCGATGACGAATTCAACGAAAACAACTCTGAACGAAAATGAAAGTGTTAAAAAGTTTAAAGCTGCGACAACGATTTTATTTTATTTAATCCCGGCTTAGCTGAACCACAATTTAGCCTTGGTGTAAACTTTTACGAGCTGCCAATTGCTTTAATTGAATTTTGTAATATTTATTTTTATTATGCCCCGATCCGATTGCGAAATTACTGTGAAAAGTGCACGAATTTCACTTTTTATACCCTGCGCGAGTAAAGGCAAGGTGTTATTTTTGGCAGTTCCCACAACAAAGTCCAATTGCAGTTGGGCTTATGATCGGTTTGGGTTTATTTTAGGGCCTTTTAAAGGGTTTTTTATCGTTTCGATTCGAAGTTGGGAACGGAGTGCGGCCTGCTGCTTCCGTGTGCCGTTGCTGCCCGAGTTCGACTGAAATTGAAACTGAAACTGCAAAAGCCGAAGACAACATCACAACATTTTGTGGCGTCGTTGTCAGGCAGCTTTGGCCTTTATTGTTGTTATTGTCGATGGGGCATTTCGTTTCGTTTTCGTTTCGGCTTTTAACATGAGGGTGTCTGAAGAGGGGGGTCTTGAAAGAGGGGGGAACTTAAGAGCCGCGACGGTAGCCGTGAGTTTGTCAGCTGGATTTTTACTTTCTTCACACTTTGGGAATTGTCTGTGCAAGATGTAAGACTTGCAGCACTAAGACAGTCACTTGGGGATTTTCCTCCTATTTAATTTTGACAAAAAATAATTACTAAAACTTTGACCAACTTAGCCATTTATGAAAAACCAACTCATTGAACCCATTAGCCAGGCCAATTTGCATTGAGCACACCCACATAAGGCTTAGCCTCAGGTATTTCCCAGTTCAAAAAACAAAATTTGCGCAACCTTAGCTTATTTTCCCGCTCTCGAAGCCTCCACCAATGCAATCCACTCCATCGAGTACTGGGCCCGTGGCTTTTGGGTGAATCATGGTGTGGTTTCCCCAAAAAACGAACCGAGCTCTTTGGCCTGGCCTACTTCAAATGCAAATGTTTTAACCGCAAACACGGCAACATATGATTGATCATCAACATCGGACGATAAAGAGGAGAAACCCAAAAAAAATTAAGAAAAATTTAAGTGGAAATGAGGTGGTGGTAAATAATTACAAGGTTTTAGGTTTAATTTATAAGTTTCGATCAGACATCTCTTCCATGATTTCCATCTGGCTGTCTTCATCTTATCTTCGACTCAATTGGTAAGTTTTGTTTTTTTCGTTAACCCTATCTTAGTTTATGCTCGGGCGTCACTAACGACCGTGAAAAGGCAAAAGTGTAGAGCGTGTGACCAACATAATTAATTGGGTATTCATAAGTCTATTCCTCTTCGCCCTGCAGCCGTTTGACAACTGCGAGCGGTAGAAACCCGAGCAAGTTTCATTGTTCCATCCAATGTTGACACCTTTAAAAGAAAAAGCAGCGCGAAATAAACTTATAACTGCTGATGTGTAGAAAAAAAGTGGAAAAAGGCGTTAAAAATGAATGGCCTTGGCCAAACGGCTGAGAAATTGTTTTGCGTAATTATAAATCATGCGTATGAAAAGTTAACTGAAGTGACACCTTTAAAAGAGAGTATCCCTTAGCTAAGCTTTAGGTTTGTTAGCTTTTGCAGTATAAAAGCTTTTTCGGTTTAAGGGTTTTTGTACAAATTAGTGAATTCAAAGTTTCTTTTCTGAACGATTTTATCAAAAAGCTCTTTTCTTGAAGCCTTCTTATCAAATATGTTTTAACTTATTAACTTTAACCCAAAGACTTTCTTAAATGGATTCTATATTTATTTACAATTAAAAGCATTTGTTTGAGACATTAAATTACAATTCACTTAATCTACATCAGCTACTACGTCACTTGATTAACTTTAAGCATTTTAGGAATTGAATTGATAATTTTAATTTATCCTTCGTCCTTTCCTCTTTCCTCTTTTTTGCTTTTGTTTTTTTTTTTTTGTTTTGTGGTTCAACAATCAGCTATTTTTAAAATTCATTGACTTACAGCTTGTGCGTGAAAGCTTAAGAGTAAATTTGCGATATACGTTTCGATATATGCGAACAATCAACGTTTAACACTCGGATGGAGCGCCAGAGATAGCTAGCGAAGGTATATTATGTACAGGGCAGAAGTCGTCGTAGTCCGTAGTTTTTAGTCCTTATAGATACTCATAGAACACACACCAGTAGATGCCGTTCAGGCTGGCGAAGAGGGCGGGGAACAGAACGCGTGAGGATCGATCGATGTAGATGGCCCGCTTGAGTCGCTCCTGGGCCGGAGTCAGTTTGGGTTTGGGTAGTTCCGGTTCTGGTACCACCGGTGGCGGAGGCGGTGGCGGTGGCGCAATTGTGGGTGTCAAAATTATACGAGACTCCTGTCGCGGAATCCATGGACCATCAGCATCCAACGGCGGACGAACCACACGGCGAGTGGTGGTCACAATCTAAAAGTAGTTTAAATTCAGTGATTGTTTCGGTAACTGTTTAGATAAACTAAATCAACATCACTTACCCTCCTATTTTTGGTCATCTCGTCAAAGATCTTCTCAATCTTCTCGATCTTCTCATCGGCCAATGGCAACATGGTGGCTTGTTGTTTGCTGGCCGTCGAATTGCTGCCCCCTGGAGGTGGACCTCCTTCGCCCTCCTTTTTAGGGCCATCACCCGCTACTGGCTTGGGCGGATAGGCCATCGGCTTGGGAATGGGCGTGTCACTCAGGACGATATTAATTAGACAGTACTCCATTAAGGCCATGAACACGAATACAGTACAGACGGACATGAAGGCGTCCACGGCCTTGAGATAGGAAACAGGAGGCAAGGACGATTGCGATTTAGCATGTTGCGTGGATAAGGTGAGCAGTGAGGTGACCCCCAAAGTCACACGAGCTGGTGCTGCCTCCGGTTTGATCCAAAAGGATACCCAAGACATGATCACGATCATGCAGGTGGGTATATAGGTATTAAAAACATAGTAGACCAATCGACGCTTTAGGGTGAACACCACCTCTAGGCAGGTGAAGTTGCCTGTGGAATAAACTTGGGTACAGTCCGCTGTCTCATTCCGTATGAGGGCCACCTGCGGCAGTTCGATGTTTTCATCCACCACGAGGGGTGTTGTGGGATCCCACTGGAATATCAAGTCGTCTGTGGTGTGGGAGACTAGAAAATATGATTGGCAATTAAAATCAGATTTAAACTTTAACTTTAAGTTTAAGGTAAATAAGCAATTTGAGGAAACTAAAGAACACTCAATCACATAGACACGAAATCTTAACATTAAACTGATTCATCGTTTATAACCAATCTTAATAAATCTTACGGCTTTCCATTTGCAGCTTGCACTCCTGAGTGTCATGTGGATAGATGGCAAAGTTCATGATACAGGACAGTTTCAGTGTCAGCTTGACCATATAGAGGATCGTCTTATCCTTGTACAACCACATATAGTGATTTGGTATGGTCATCGTTTGAAAGGTTACAGACTTGGCATTTTTAAAGAACGAATCAGGTCGCCACATATTCTTTAGCCAGTCCACCTCCAACAATCTGTACTCCTGTGTCATATTCTCCGGCAAACGCAGCCGGTGATCTTTCCAAGTCTGAGCAAAGAACACGTCTGCCACATAAGTCATTGAATTCTCATCGATGGAGTCCAGTCCCATCACAGTCACATGAAAGTAAACTATTGTGGGCTGCCCCTCCTTTTTGGGCGGTCTCATCTTATCGTAGCGCTTAATGTCCTCGGGAAGAATGTCGGTTATGGCCAGACTTTGTCTGGTTTAAGAGGAAAATAGTGTTTTAATGATTGTTCAGTTTGTTTAGGTTGCGTTTTTATACTCACTGAAACTCCCCTTTGGCATAGTGCTTTAGGCAAATGGTGCAGATCACCAAGATTATTATTTGAAACACCATTTTTATCTAAGTTATTCCTGTGCTAAATTAAAAAAAAAAAACATATTTATTTTAATTTGAGGTGGCTTTAAATGGGGGAGTTCCTAATTATTTTAAGTTAAGATTTTAAAACAAAAAAAAAGTTAAAGAATAATGTTGAAATAATGATAAGGTTTAATTTGTTTTCCTATCTTTAAGAAGTTAAACTATACGTTAAAAAAATTTTAAAACATAACATTTTTGGATTCTTCAGCTTGGTGGCAGGAAGACAATATCTATTCTAATATCTAATTTATCTAATATCTTATTTTCTTCCTGTACATATTTTAAATAATGTTGAAAACTCTAGACAGTAAATATATTTGTAATAATTCCAGTTCAGCCTGAAGCCTGCCTTCGATGCGAAATAGTATTATTTTCAGGGCTCTTCCTGCCTAATAAGTAACAAAGGTCGTTGTCGATGCAAACAACTTGAAAACGATTTCCCCGTCTGTTCCGTGACCTTGTCACCAGGTGGAAAGGATCAAAGGCTTCCGAAGGGTCTGTCCTGGCATTGACAATGCATCGAGAGCGATTGGCACGAAAATAGCAACAATTATGCCGCTTAACCAAGTAAATAAAAATGGGGGGCCGAGACAAAGCATCAAAGTTGCCTTCGACAATGGATAGCCTCGGCATTGGTTTGTATCGAGTCCGAGTCCATCCAAATGCAGGATGGCAACCCTGGCCGCAGGACATAGACAGCAATACCTGTCGTCGTCTCAGTTCCTCGCTGCACAATACCGTCTTAATTCACAATTAAAGCCACTCGAATGGGCGGATTGTGGGCGTTGGGCGATGGGCGAGTCGTGCCTTAAGTGGCCCATGCGCCTTTTTATGCACCCGCGAGCATGCCACGCCCCCTGCTCCTGCTGATGTAGGCAGCCTCCACATTCCCCATCTACATGACGAACATAGAGGAGAAAGCAGGCAATGGAAGAATCCTGCCAATGCTGCAGAGCCCCCATTAGACAAGGACAATTGCCATAGCACTTGGCGCGGCACAAGTCTGAGGCTCTCTTTATTCTACGCAAATTGGGACAACTTAAAGAATCAGCGATTTAAAATAATGAATTCGTTAAATAGGCTGTAATACATGCTCTGCTTTTGCAGTGCAGTTGGAAAATATATTTTTAAAATATTTTTTTAGATCATAAACTTTTTAAGGTAAGTGCCATTCTTCTATTTAGGGAAATGTTCACAATTTTAGGAGGAAACTTAATTTTTTGGGTCAAAGAAAAATTTTTAATAGGATCTAAGGATGTCAAGAATACTGTATAATCTCACAAAATGGTTAAGAAAGTTAGTTTTTAATATCCTCATGCTAAAAAGAAACAAAAATTAATTTTTCTAAAATGTATTTAACGTAAGGAGTAAAATAATTTGAATTTCCAACGAAAAAAATTGAAAGATATCAATAAAATAAAATAAAACCAATAAAAATGATTAGTTATTTAATGAAAACAGAATGTACAATTGGTTTATTATTATGGTATTGTGGTTTATATATTTTTTAAATTTAACAGCTGAATCTTATTAATCGATCTTAATTTAAGTGCAGGTTTAAACTAATTCAATAGTTGAATAGATTTCTTGAATCATAGTCTAAAAATTTGAGTAAGAAGCCAAGACGAAACAACAAAATATAAAACGCATACTAAACCCACTTAAAAACAAACAATTTTATTTTCCTTCAAAAATCTTGTGTTCTATAAAATATTCCGTATTCCTTAAATTTTATTTTAAATTCTCTTTCAATTGAGTCTAAAATTGTAAAAAATGTTTTCAAAATCTTACACAGTTTTCGTATGAATTCGAAACAGCTTTCCGTTTGCACTCAACTAGAATTCGTTTTGATTTCGTAGCAGTAGATTTCTGTTGGATTTCTGGAATCTTCACAGAGATTACATAACCATCAGCTTGACGCCCTAAATGACATGTTTAAAAAACACCACTTTTTATAAATATTCCGGAATAATCAAAACTGTTTATGGAGGTGTCAAAAATGTATTTTATTTTTATGTAAATATTCTTCACACTTTAACATTTATTTTTTGACTGGTAATAATTTTTAAGACTTGGATTCTTTCCGTTTTGAACGTCTTGGCAGTTCAAACTTTCGCTGACAACTGACAGTTGGAGGCGAATAGATTTGAATTTAAAACGTTGCCAGGCACGAGCGAAAAGTTCACCAACGAAGGATGCAGGATGCTTGACGCGATGTTGGTATAAGGGTTCGTACGTGTGGGTGAGTCCTTTTCCGACTGGTGGGAAGAACACAAAAGTGAAAGCCGCCAGAAACGTGGTCTTTAATATTGGGAGAACAAGGAACTATCGGCGCTATAGGATTTTCATGGAGGTTTGTTTGTACATGTGTCTATATATAGGACACAGGCAAATATCTTTTTCCCCTAACCAGGGCTGCAAAACGCTATGGGTCTGTGTGTTTGTCACTTAACATAATTTCCTCGAGTACTTTGGCATTGCCTTCTTTTGCCACATAATCTGCGCTCTGTCGTCATCGACATTGTAGTTTGCCAGCTCTCCCTTCTTGCCCAGAAAATGATGATGCACCGCACTGGATGTGGAGGGCAGGACCTTCACTTCTCATCATGGCAAGATGCGACATACGCCAATCGATTCGACTCGTTTAATTCGAGGGAAAATTCTTGAATATGTTTTGCAGTGTTATTTATTTTTTTCACACTTGGATTCTATAGTTTTGAGCATTTTTCAATCAGTTTCCTTGTTATCCCTTCCTTAACAAGTTCTCCGCAAGTTGTCAAGTGGCAAGGTCCCAGAAGTGGCATTTGTCGCATCAAAAGTTGGGGGCAGTGGCATCCTCGAGGGGGACTCGATAGTTGGGGACACGGGCTAATGAATGCAATGCCACGGTAATCCTAGGATCCCCCAACTGACGTCACACGGAATGCACAATTGGAAAAACAAAGAAAAGCCAGAGGGAAATTGCTGAGAAAATCAAGTTTAATGAGATGAAAAAGGCGCCTTGAGAGGTGGAATTTCGTTGAGCAAAATTAAAGAAATACAATAAAATGTAGGAGGAATTAAAAAAGCTGTACAAACAGTTTTGCATTAAGTAGTAAAGTTTGATTTAATTTGATAAATGCATATCTAAATAAAGAGGGTAATAGCTAAATGAATAACATTATCAAATTAAAAACTTCTTAATAAAAATTCTACACAACTGTATCTGTTCGATTTTTATTTTAATTTTTCGATTTATTACAATGACAAAAAAAAATTATCAACAAGAGGAAACACTATAGTCGAGGGCCGCGACTATAAGATACCCGTTACTGTTTTACACAATTTTAAAATATTAATTTTGCTAGTGGAAATTCACAAGGCGCTACCTATTGTCAGAGGAAGCATGTTGAGTAATTGGTAGTGACGTCACAAACTATGTGAGGTCTTATAACCTAAATTTCTTCATAAATAGCAAAAAAATATTCCGATTTAAAAAGTCTTTAGTAAATCGATAGATATTAACAGAAATAAGTTATACATGGTCAAACGAAGGCATTCATAATAATATTATAAACGCCAAAGTTTTCCGCGGTTCGTGGGCGTTAGATTGGGCGTGGCAGAATGCTGTAATAAACTTGCGCTGCTTAGGGACCTATTCATGGTTAATCTCAACTTTGTATATCTTATAGTTCCTAAGATCTCAGCGTTCATACGGACCGTCGGACAGACGGACAGACTGACGGACAGACGGACATGGCTCAATCGACTTCGCTATTGATTCTGATCAAGAATATATATACTTTATAGGGTCGGAAACGCTTCCTTCTACCTGTTACATACTTTTGAACGAATCCAGTATACCATTTTACTGTACGAGTAACGGGTATAAAAATGTAAAAACATTTGCAAGGCTTTGTCGTATGAAACAATCAAAGTAAAAAAATAAAAAAGTATTGTGTAAAAGGATTTATGTTTTACATAACTGTTAAATATTTTAGGACTCATTAACTGATGACTTATTTCTGTCGTTTCAATTCGTAATAAAATAAATCGTAAATAATAAACACATAGCTTCCTCCTTCGAATTCCTGGCGACCTTGAGGCGGTTCTCACCCACTCATATTATATTTAAAGCCCCGTGACCTGCCACTCCCACCCGCCCAAGCACTACTCAACGCCTTGCCGCAACACTCTTGAGCTGATTCCATACATCCTTTCTGGCCTCCGACCGAACAAGAAGAAGACTCGTCGTTATTAAATTATCTCTGATGCGATAATAGCACACTTAAGTTACCACCACACCTCATCCTCATCATCATCTTCCTTAGCCTCAGCCTCAGCCTCAGCATCCATTCCCCGCCACGCTTCTCTCTATTGATGGGGCAGCTATAAAAAGCCGCTGATTTTTCTATAGTTTATTCGAATGCAGTCGAGCTTGGACCTGTTCTGAGTGCTCCTATTCCCCGCCAGAAAGCGACCCCGACTATTCCTATTCCAACCCCACTAAGTGGTGCTCTTAAGTTTCTGCTGAGGGCAGCATCAGGGCGGTGGCTATGGCTATGGCAAATTCGCAAAAGGTTTTGGCGCACTTGCTATTTGAATACTTTGGGTGGCAAATGTACAAAAAAAAAAGAAAAACTAGTGAACTTTTCACTTGTGTGTTTGGCTTTTTACAAGCGTCCTACGTCATTGAAAATTTTGTAAAATAAATTATGAGAAAAATAGATACTGAAACGAAAAGTTATTTAGGCAAAAGCTGTATTGGCCTAGCAATGAAATAGCTGTGACGTCAAGAGAACCAAGGTTACAAAGTTATTAAGCCTGGTTAACCAAGTTCTTGGATTTGTTACCTGCACGATCTTATGAGATGAGCACGAATTGGCTGGTTGTGGCCAAAATTAATCTAAATGATGGAATGCAAATGGAACGTGGAGAATACTTAATTGTTAATATAAAGGTAATTTGACTAAATGGAGTTATTAATATTGTTTTTATTTTGCTTTAAAAAAGTTGTAAAGACGAGAAAACGACCTAACATTCAAGTCGATTCAAAAAATTAGAATTAAGGTTTTGGCAGTTAAATACATAAATACCCATAATTAGTTATATATTTTGTTAATAGCTTATAAAGATAACCTCAAACTAAAAGTAATTCATTGGCAAAATAGGCTTTAATCGAACACTGATATATCAGCCAATCATACATTTTCCATTTCACTTCCTGCCTCTGAAAGGTAGACAAAATACCATTAAATATTAATCACCAACTTTGGCGACCGGGGAAACCATACAGTGTCCCACCGAAGATGTGACCCACATTGGCAGCACGCGGAAGTTCAGTGAATGGAAATCCCTACTGCCTCACCCACCTCCCATCGCCTACCGACCACGTAACCCAACTCCACCCACTTCATTCATGAAAAGCCTCAAAGCGAGGACATTGAACCGCTCGTGAGGAGCTAATCAGGGAGTTTCTGGAGGGGGATGATATGTACGTGGTGGTGGTGGTTAATGGTTGGTTTTTTGGGTGGTGCCTCTGTCCAGCAACAGATGCCACAGGAGAGAACCAAAAAAAAAGAGAGAGAGAGTGTGTGAGAGAGATAACTGCCCAGGTGGGCTGCTACATTGTTGACAAACAAACCTGTAGCCGCTGGCCAACACGTGGCGTTAGCTCTGCTTGGTGGTGGTTCGGGTGGTTCCAATGCCAATCCGCCAAAGCGCATGCTCCGGACTCACAGACAGCTGAGCGCGAAACCGTGACGTCGCTATTGATTTTTACACAATCGCCGGACGCGCATCGCTGCAATTGGAGTTGCACGGAAAAATCAGGAGTCACCGCAAAATGCTCTAAAGGATCCGAATTGCATCCTTAGAGCTGCTAAAAAAAACAGAGGATTTCTTGCAGGCGCAGCTTGGTAGCGCAACCGCATCAGCTTAACCGGAACCAAACATGATGAAACTGCGACCATATGTGCCCTCTAAGAGGATTGCCATACGGGACTCGTCCATTGATGAGGATGTCAGCGACGATGTCGAGGACGAAGTGTTCATCAAGGATGCCAGGTCGGCGAAGGTGAGTACTTCAAGAGGATATCAAGAACCGGAAAATGAGAATCGGAGAAAAGAATAATCTAACAGTGAAATATTAACATTTCCCAGAAGGGTTAATAAAGTTCGTTTTAAGTTTCATGTGTACAGATTAAGAAAAGTTATTGCGGAAGAATAAGCCATCTATAAAATATTTTATCATTTTAAGATAGTTTTTTATTAAAACAAAAACATTGCATTTATAGAACTTGCCCATACTTATCAAGAACTTTGTGTTGCCATATGTCGCACTTAATATTGTTATCTACACTGTGATAAGAACATTTTTCTGTGACATTTCGTTTCGAAGTTGAGCATATTTAAAATAAATAAAAAATAATGCAATATTTCTTTTTTAAAGCGTTGTACAAAAATGATTTATTTTTTAAATTATTGTTTTTTATAGATAAAAAAAACAAATTAACCTTTATGTGCTTTCCACCCACAGCGGAGCGAGGAGCAGGGACTGAAGAGGCCATTGATGGCGCCTCGTCGCAAACACAGTCCTGGATCTGGTCATGGATCCGGGTCAGGATCGGCTCCTATAATGAAACAGCACAGAAGACGGCGCTGCTGTCGCTGCTGTGAACCCTTCTGCTACGCTCTTGCCGCTCTAACGGTACTATGTGCCCTGCTTAGCTTGGCAGCCCTCATGCTGACGCTCTTCCCGCTGCCACTGCAACGAATACGGCACTGGTGGCGACCCGATCCCGCCCAACTGGCGGCCATCTCAGCTGGTTCCTCCCGCCTCATACAGGGCTACTCTCTGGGCAGGGAGTTTGTGCCCTGCACACAGATCAGTGTCCAAAAGCGCTGGACTCGCAGTTTGGCTCGCATGAATAGCGAGAGCCCTCTTCGAGCGGCTGATCTGAATGGTGATGGCATCAGGGATGTGGTCTTTGGCTACGGGGTGGACGACAATATCCACTACGAGGGCATTCCTTTGCCACGCTGTCAGTCTGCCCAGCAGGGTGAGGAGGTGCCCTGTGAGGGCGGAGTAGTGGCCTTAAACGGATTGGATGGATCCATCCTCTGGCAATCTTGGAGCGTGGCAAACGTCTTTTCGCTGCACTGCAGCGCGGATGTGGATGGAGATGGGGGCACTGATTGCGTGGCAGCTGGAAGGCTTGGAGTAAGTTGGATCTTTGGTAGAATAATAATTTATTATTAATCCTTACTTCTCTTTTGTTCAACCCATCTAGATGATCTACGCCATCAATGGCCGCACTGGAGCCATAATCTGGCGCTTCCGTGAATTAGAAGTGGAAACGAACTCACCCATCGTAATGGATCTGTACACGATCAATGTGCTGCGTGATCTGGATGGAGATTCGGTGCCGGAAATAATAGCTGCCCATCTGGAGGAGCGCGAGGAGTCCAAGGCGGGCCACATAAAGCTGATTTCCGGAAAGACGGGCAAGGTGATCCGAAGTATCCCAACGCCGTACCGAGAGGAAATGTTTGTACCAATACAGCTGCTAACACAGGCAGATGGGACGGAACTTCTGCTGATCGTAACTGGTGGCCAGAACACACCAGGTGGCATTTATTCCTTGCGACTGCACTCTCTGATGGCGTACACCAGTGAGAAGCACTTTACCCCGCTCCATCGACAACAGGGATCAGGTCTCATGGTGCCTGCCGTGATCACCGACCTGAATGGAGATGGTATCTCGGACGTGGTGGTAGCTGCCTTCAACAGGAGTGTTCTGGCCTTCGATGGAGCCAACTACACCATGATGTGGAACTATACTTTTCCGGCCAGCGAGTGTGTCAGTGCCATTGTTCCGGGACTCTTTAATCACGATAATGTAACGGATTTCATGGTGAAGTACAACACTGGCCCGGGATTCCCGGTTTACTATTACTCTCAGACAACCATACTGAATGGAAGGAATGGACAACCTCTCCTGAATGCCATGATGACGGATTCTGGTGGTGCGAATAGTCTTCTGGGTGGGGTCTCCATTTCGCAGAGCTTCGGTGGTGACTTCTTCCTACACTGGCAGTTGCAGTGCCGTAACCGCCCGGATGCCCGGGATGCCTATGAATTTGTACCCGATAGCGATATTATACTCCAGGCCAGGGCGGATACATGTCGCCTTCGATACAACGAGTCTACGGTGCTCAAGCTCTACGGGATCGCCAGGCACATCGAACCACCGGGTGCCGTGCTATTCAGTACCGATGATCTCGAGGTTCAGCTGAATCGCACACAACGACCGGCGGCAGCTGGAAAAAAATCCCCACTGAAACATCCCAAGCTCCTCAAGAAACTCCTGGCCGGAAATCGGGAGCAGCTGTTACGCCAGGTGGCCGCCGGATCAGGAATCGGTGATGGAAATGTTAATGGTAATGGCATCGGTAGCGGAACGGAGCAACCGGGCAGGCGATCAAAAGCCCATCATCGACACAATCCTCTGATGGAGCAGCAACTGCAAGAACTGTTGCCTCAGGGAGCAGATAACGAACTTCCGCCTAGTTTTGGAATGGGAGGAGGTTATCCCAAAGAAGCGTACAAGGAGTTTGTAAGTGCTATTAATAATATATTTTATTTATATTTTAATTAATATTATATCCTTAAATCATTTCTCCTTCCTCCGCAGAAGGACTACGATGCCCTGCAACTTCCGCCAGAGAATGCGAATCCACTGCGCCTTCCCGAGGAATACGAGTTGGTGTACAACGACGAAGTACCTCCGCTTTTGGAGCAGAGTGACCGTGACCGGCCCATCCACCTGCGGTCAAAGTATCCTAGCGCAGGGAGTCGGGATGTACGTAGTGGATTCCTTGAGGCTACTGGTACTACCAGCACCCAAGCCACGCCCAGCACCACCGGGCAACCGATGACCGCTCAATCCCCGCTAAGCCTCTGGGATCTGGAGCTGGATAACGAGGCAAGAGAACAAGCTGCAGATGCCCTTGAGGGAAATAAAAAGCAGAGGAGGCGTCGCAAAAGACGAGACAGTGCTTCCGGAACGACGTCTACTCTGGCTGAGGATTCCGTTGCAGGAGAGGAGTCCTCCGGAGCCGACTGGTACTTGGCTTCCATCTCGTCTACAGGGGTTTTGCTGAAAGCACTGGGCAATGCCAGTTCCTCTCTGGACTTTGCCTTCGTCCTTAACATCCGCGAATCGGAGGCATATCCTCCACTCTTCTCGCCACAGGATCTCAGCTGTGTCGAGGAGAAGATCAGCGCTTATAAGAGTAAGTAATCCAAGATTGAGTAATTCGTAAGCAAGCCAAAACAAGTTACTGATTAGCTTATAATATCTTCTCCAAAATGTGATTTTAAATATCATTTGGAAGCAGGAACACATCACTTCTTTTCTTAATACAACTAATACAACAACATATTAGCTTTTGCAGCGATAAAAAACTTTGGAAATAATATTTTTCCGAAGAAAAACTTAAGCTAAGTCAGTGCTGAGTCACTATGCCGTATCTCTACTTTTTATATGTACATACATAATTCCGAGAAGTACTCGTGCTCATATTATACAGTGTATTTGATATTTATATGAAAAATCATCGTCAACAACATGGTAACCTTTAAAAATTATAACATTTTTTTTAAATTTTTGCAACATTTATAAAAAATTACCGATAAGTTATTTAAGATTTATTTCTGCATAATTCAACGGTTTTGGTAAAGTCTTGTGAAATCTTTTAATGTATATACATATACATATACATACATATGTGGTTTACGATAAAAAGAGATATTTTTCAACTGATTTTCAAGAACTAAGTTAGAAAAAAATACCTAAAAATTTTTAAGCTTCTAAGAACTATTAAATCTTCCTTAAAGCTTTATTTATCAGGGAAATTTGTATTTATTGCAGGCTATACCATTGACAACCTGCGCGTGTTGCGCAAACAGTTCCTAAGCAGTGCCTCAGCGAGCGTCTGGTTGACGCGGAGCCCGCCCTTCCCAAGTACGAGTCGCAGCTGGTGGTGACCCGCATCGGGATCACGTGCACCTGTCGGTCCCTGCGGCCAGGTGAGGTCTGCTCGGAGCTAGATCCCCTGGAGTCGCAACGATGGACAGAATTCATGGGGAACTCGGGACATGGCTACTATGCCAATCACTAAACGCTAATCGCAGGCGATGGATAATTTCTTAGCGCAGGAATGGGTCCTTTTGACCACCTACGCTGGAGGCATTCCGCGCCGGCCTATCTCTTTCTCTAGATGTCTCTGTCAACAGTCACTATTGTAATTTATCGTCATTTGCGTGTTGTGGGGTTTCTTGTAATCGTAACAGTATTTACCTGCGTGTATTTGTGTATATTTTACGAGTTCTTTTGACAAATAAAAATATCCAATTTAAATAACAATTTTACATATGTATTAAAGCCTTAAATTTGATACAATCCAGTCAAAGAAGGCTGAAGTTCTTGTGTAAACACTTGGAGTGCCAATTTTTCCGCATTTGGTACTTCCCAATGATGTGATTCCGGCTACATATGTATAGTCCTTGTCCATACGTCCTTTGCTGGCCATCAGAGGTGATCCGGAATCGCCCGTACATGTGTCCACGCCAGTTTGTCCACCAGCACATATTTGAACACTGTCGTTGAACCCTTCGATTATATACCTTCTTTTACATTTTTCCGAATTCGTTTTCATGATATTGCCACGCATCAGCACATTGCTATGTTCACCATTTTCCATCTTTCCCCATCCGGCTATTACAAAATTCGGCGCAATGTAAGGGTTTTCCAAAACACAAATCGGTGTAATTTCGACCCTATAGCTGAATTTATAAAAATTTTTTGTTAGGATGTGTAAAAAAATAGCGACAATCTGATTGCTAACTTAATTCTACGAAAATGAATATATATTTTCATATTATAATTTGAACTATTAAATTGATATGTCCCTATTGTGTAAAAAATTGATATACTTTTATCTGTACAAAAATATAAAAAAAAAACGTCCCGAAAATATGATATGCAAAGTTTTGAATAAGAAAACTTCTATTATTAATATGACTGGAATAATTACTTACCGTACTGGCATGGCAAGACGAAGCAAGGCAATGTCATTTGGGCCGTGAGTCAGCCTGATAAGGAATAATTTCCTCCACGTTGACATCCCGATAAATTTTATTGATAGGGTTGTAGGTAATGTCATGCTCGCCCAAGCGGACAAATTCTAACGAATAGTAATCCGGCATATTAGAAACACAGTGGGCTGCAGTCAAAACATAACGATGGTTAATCAGAGATCCCGCACACGACGACTCAAATATCAAGGATGTATCATTTTTATAAATCAGCATGGCCATCCATGGAAACCCATTGGGCTGCGCCTGTGTGCCATTCTTGATTCGAAAAAAGGCTGGAGACTGGCCGCAGACATCCGTATCTGGCAGCTCATTACCAGGCTTGGGACAGCAGATCCATTGATTCCACAGCGGGATCCTCCTGACATCGATGCCGTATTCCGTTCTGATCCTCTTAGACAGAGAACTGTTATACAATGCGGGGCACCTGTCCAATCTGGCGAGTTTCTCATCCGATTGGCAACCTAAAACCGCTGTAAAATGATTATTTATTGTTTTAATATTTATCAACTTGCAGTGCAGTCGGTGGCGTTTTTTTTTTAATATTTCGAATATGATTTATTGGTTTTTTATTAATACTAATAAAAGATAAGCTGCTATACTGTATTTCCATTTCAGATTAAAACTTCACAAAATAAAATAAAATGTTAAAGGGCTTGGAATTCCGCCAAAACTACCAGAGTCAACTGAAAGCACCAGAAGAATAGCCTGGATCAGCAGCAGAACGAAATATTTCAGAGCGAACATGTTGCGCCTTCAGGGTATAAAATAAGACTGATTCTTGTACATATAATCATATTCAGCTATATAAATGCATAAATATATCAGAATGGAATTCCAAGAATGACTGGCCTTTTATACCCTTTAATCGTAAAGTGAAAGAGAATATTGTGATCGTTGAACATGCCACGCTCGTGTATCACCCATTATATTATTGTTAAAAGTTTGGATAAGACCTAGCAACAAAGTTTCAAATAAATTTCAAGTTATGTATCCTTATTTAGGCAGTGACATCGCTGCTATTTATTTAGTTATTTATAAAAGATTAAATCTTTATTTTGAATTTTACATATTAGGTATCTGATAGTCTAATAAATATTTTTTTTTTTTACCACTTCCCCTTCAGAAATTTCGTCATATGGCTGAAGTGTCAAGATTAAAGTTGAAACAAAATTGGATTTTCCACTTAATCGAAACAAAAATTAAAATGTTGTGTGGACTCAGCCTCAGATGAAATAATCAAGAAAACTGCACTCAAATTGTTGAATATAGTTAATATAATTGATAAGAAATGTATTCATTATTTCTTTTATTTTTACTCATCTCAATATATACAACAAATAGTTAGTAGTACCTTATGATCTAGATCTCTAATAATGTAAAACAATAAATGTATTTTATAATATTAGCCTTTTCCGAAACTCTTAAGCCTCCAAATTGTACAAAATCCATTGGTAAAACGTTGCAACTCTTGTTAATACAACTGGCCACTCCGACTGAGCACAAGGACCTCCTGAAAAGGAAATAATCCCGGCAGCAAAGGCAAACTCCTCGTAGCCTCGACCTATTGTGCTCATCAGTGGACCACCGGAATCGCCTTGACAGGTACGATTATTATTAGAGCCGCCGACACATATTTGGCTTTTTGGTGTGAACGTTAAGTGTAAATACTTTTCTAAGCAGATATCTGGACTGGTTAGCTGGACCATGGTGTCCCTCAATATCGTACTGCTACCGTCGTTTACATTCATATGGCCCCAGCCGGCTACCAGCAAATTTCTGTCACCCAAGAAGACATGATAGGGCACAAGACAAATCGGAGTAATCTCATCCGTAAAACTGGTAGAGTGGGGTTGTCTTGAATAAATGGATAGTTCTGATATTGGTTTTGGGAATCATTACTCACCGCACTGACACTTGCAGTCGCACTAGAGCAATGTCATTTTTAAATTTGTACTGGTCGTAGTCCGGATGAGGAATAGTCTTTTCTACGCCAACTTCCAAATGTTCGGGAGCGCATAGGGGTTTTGATCCTACACCATTCAAGTAAACGCAGTCTGGATTTTTTTTGGTGTCATGCTCGCCCAGACGCACACTGACCAGCCCTGTCTGCACCGGGGAAACACAGTGGGCTGCGGTCAAGACATAGCGATTATTGATCAAAGAGCCGCCACACATGGGAATAAGTGTTTGACTCAAAGGGTCCTTATACAGAAGCATGGCCAACCAGGGATAACCATTGAGATCAGCCTCTTTGCCATCCATTATTCGATAAGTGGATGGTCCTTGTCCACAAACATTAGTATTTGGCAGCGTGTTACCCTTATTTGGACAGCAGATGTAACTTATGTTTCTGATTCCACCACAATTCCTCTCTAGCAATAACTTCCTTTTCGCAGCTCCCTTAACACTGGTTTTGTCAAACAAATGCGGGCACCTAGCTAACTTGGTGCATATCTCATCATTTCTACAGAGATCTTTTAAATGTAAAGAAAAAAGAAGTTGTTAGTAAGAGCTTTTTGTTTAACAAGCACTTTTTATTTTATGAAAAATTGTTTACACTTTAATTCCTAGAAAACAAAAATTAAACAAAAACATGCCCTGTCATAAAAAACTTTATGCTTATTTTTTAAAAACACTTTGCTTGAATGTATCACAACTATTTTGTAACATTTTTAATTAATTTACTTATTTTACTAAGTAAGATTTCTTTTTAAATAAAATTTTTTTTTTAATTTCGTTTTGATTTTAGTTTTTAGCGTTTCCTCATTATACGCCTAACACTAATTTTATTAGATCATTTTAACTTTTGTAATTTTAAAATTTTCAGTGCACAGCAAAGATTCAGTGAGAAAGAAAAGTTTAAACCTTTTTTATACACAACTAAAAATCGTTTTTGGCATTTACCAACGTAAACCGAATGCACCAGCGCAAGAAACAGGATCAAAAGGAAAGTATTCAGTTTCAGATCGAAGAACATTGTGTGTTCGGATTTAAAATGCTACTGAATAAATTTGTTTTCCAAAAGCGTTTATATATTACAAATATAAAACAGATTAAAAGTATTTCTATTATGAATGAACGCTATCAGAGCGTTTTACTCACAAAAGACGTATTGAATGAAGTAAGTGACGGTTACGAACTCTTATGCTGCTCAGCATTATAAAATTCATATTAATCATATGTGCGTGAAACTGTATGTGTATATATTTTTGGTTTTGGTGTGTATTGGAAAATATTTATCCCAATACATCACTTTTTTTTTTAAATCATCAGGCATTCGCGTCAATGGAAATACGTTCTTAAGCTCACGTTTACAGATCTTCAAGTGAAGAAAGACGTCTTAATATCTGTTTTACAAAACAAATCCAAATCTCTATAACTAAAAAAACTCATATATTTACAATTTTCTTCATTAAATTATGGAAGTTAAACACAAAGTATCTATTTTTACAAATTGTATTATCTTATGTTAAATATATTATAGGTGTAAAATAAAAATAACAAAAAAAAATACATTTCACGTTTTTACATTTTTTTTATCTAGAGGATAAAAAATACGAAATAAATTCTTAATTAATAAGAATGAGTCATTTAAATAACTTACAATTTTTTTTTGTCTTAGCTCACAAATTCTGTGGAATGATTACTACTAGAACTGAAAGCGAATAAAAATGTACCAACCTATTGCATTTAAAGAAATAAATTAACTGTAGATTGTAATAAAATATGAAAATGAAATGCGTAATATATATTTTTATATTTTTAAAGATTTCGAAAAGGAATGTGGTATACTGTTAAGATAACATTACAGTGTTTCACCTCTGATTAGCCATAGAAAATATGTGCCGCTATCTTAACTGCCGAAAACAGCTGATCAGGGCTGCCAAATTCCGGGCGACGCACCGCTGGTCAATAAATAAAAGCAAAACTTTTGTTTTATTTTAATTTTTGCATGTCCAACCTTACACTAACAAGTACAACAGCATGGGCATCCTAGAGAAGATTGCGGAGATCGAGCGCGAAATTGCGCGGACGCAAAAGAACAAAGGTTTGATCACTTTGCCGCGCTGGCCATCGGAATTTAGGTTAGGATTGTAACTGGGAGTCGCTAAATTTGCAATGTTTTTCATCTCCCTTCCTCAGCCACCGAGTACCATTTGGGTTTGCTGAAGGCGAAATTGGCGAAATACCGATCCCAGCTATTGGAGCCGTCTAAGAAGGGCGAAAAGGGTGAAGGATTCGATGTGCTCAAAAGTGGAGATGCCCGGGTGGCACTGATCGGCTTTCCCTCTGTGGGCAAGTCCACAATGTTGTCCACTTTGACTAAAACGGAATCGGAGGCGGGTAAATGCATCTCAATATTATCCGCCCTGCATCTTAATTATCCAACTTATTAATTTATCGAATACTGACAGCAAACTATGAGTTCACCACTTTAACATGTATTCCTGGCGTCATCGAATATCAGGGTGCCAATATCCAACTACTGGATTTGCCCGGTATCATCGAAGGCGCCGCACAGGGCAAGGGGCGTGGTCGTCAAGTCATCGCCGTAGCCCGTACCGCTGACTTGGTACTGATGATGCTGGACGCCACCAAGCCAAATGTTCATCGGGAACTGCTCGAAAGAGAACTGGAGTGCGTGGGCATTCGATTAAACAAACGCAAGCCCAACATCTACTTCAAGCAGAAGAAGGGCGGCGGCCTGAGCTTCAATGCTACCTGTTCCCTGACACGTTGCAACGAGAAAATGGTACAGACCATCCTGCACTCCTTCAAGATCTTCAACGCCGAGGTTCTTTTCCGCGAGGACTGCACTGAGGACGAGTTTATCGACGTGGTTACAGCCAATCGTGTATATCTGCCCTGTCTCTACGTTTACAACAAAATCGATCAGATCTCCATCGAGGAGGTGGACCGCCTGGCGCGACAACCGAACTCAATTGTGGTTAGCTGCAACATGAAGCTCAATCTGGACTATATGCTGGAGGCCCTGTGGGAAGCGCTGCAACTCATCAGGGTCTACACAAAGAAGCCAGGTGCACCGCCAGACTTCGACGACGGACTGATTTTAAGAAAGGTAAGTATTAATCTTCTTTATACCCTTTCTATTTATCCTTGTTCCGAAATTTTCCCCCAAAGATCGGTATATCTTTGAGCATACAATACTTTAAGGTGCCTCTTTATGTTCTTTATAAGATTAAAGAGGCGTCTTCAAAATAATTTGAAGGTGTCCTCCAATCTCTTATCTCTTGTTCTTCTCCTTAGGGTGTCAGTGTAGAACACGTGTGCCACGCCATTCATCGCACGCTGGCGGCGCAGTTCAAGTACGCCCTGGTGTGGGGAACCTCCACAAAATACTCGCCTCAGCGCGTCGGAATAGCCCATGTAATGGCCGACGAGGATGTCATCCAGGTGGTTAAAAGAAGTAATGATTGTTTCAGATGAAATATATATTCTATGCTATAACAAATACCGAAATTCTAGTATCTTGTACATAACAATTTATTCAAACTGGAAAAAAATTTCATTTTCACTTGCCCGCCGTATTGCTAGCGGAATTGGCCGTCACATAAGACTTATTCATTAGAGCCGATATGTTGGAGAAGGGTGTTGGACCGCTGCTTATTCTTTGAGGTTCAACCGACGGCAGCGGAGGATTGTCGATCCGCTCGAAAACATTGGTGGCGTCTCGCAGCCTATAGCGCCTAAGGTTTAGGTAGTGCTCCTTCTGTTCCTCCACTCGCTGATGCAACTCATGCAAACGCCCGGCCAGCGATATGAAACTCTCGTTCAGCTGTCGAAAGCCACGCTTTAAATCCTCGGGCGATATACTCTGCGGATTGGACAGAGCGTGCATGTGGCGCTCCGTTAAGGCAATCTGCTGTCGAAACGCGATTAAGTCCTGCTCGTACTTTGCCACCAGGCACTGGAAGTACTGGAAGGGAGCATTGTTCTCGAACTGCAGACCGGCGGGTGTGTCCTGCGTGCGCTGTGCCATCTCCAGAGATTGAATAGCTTTGGCTGTTTCTTGTCGCATTAGGCGAATCTGTTGGTTGTTTCCCTCCACTGAGTTGGCCATATTTTGCAGCGCCCACTTTAAGTTGGTGATCTCGTGACTCACATTGGTGAATTTGGAGGTGGACGTCCTTCCAATGTCCGAGGAGATGGTCTTCTGCTGCTTGATGTACACTTTGAGGGCATCCACTGTTTTGACAATCTCGTCGGGTACTTGGGTCTCCTTGATCTGTTGGTGATAGAATGGTTTTAGAAACTAGATAATCTATGAAGAATATTTACACGCACCTTTATGCCATCCTGTTTGTTGTCTCCCAACTTGGGCTGCGTTGCACTCACATCGATTCCGCCTAGACCTACAAAAGTCGACGCTGCCGGTGCAGCCGCCTGGCCCGCTGGCTTGCCAAAGATTCCCCCTCCTCCTATGCCCGCTGTCGCATTGGTAGTTCCCAGTTTGAGGGTCGTATTGAAGGGTTGTGCCGTCGCCGTCGTTGTGGTGGTACTAAAGTTCAAACTGGCCGCAGTGGTAGCTTGTGGCTTGGCAAAGGCGAAGGTTCCAATACCGGACCCCAAAGCTGCTGGCATAGCAGCTGCAGCCGTTGTAGCTGTGGACCCGAATCCAAAGGCCGGCGGAGCTGTTGTCGGAGCACTTGTGGCCGGAGTAGCAAACGAGAAAGTGGGTGCCACGGTGCCCACGGCGGGTGCGGCAGCTCCGAATGCTGGAGCCTGTGTGGAAGCTGGCACTCCAAATGCGGGAGTAGCAGCTGGTGCTCCAAAGGCGGGAGTTGCTGCTGGTGCTCCAAAAGCAGGAGTGGCTGCTGGGGCTCCAAAGCGGGTGCTGCAGCTGGTGCTCCAAAGGCGGGCGTTGCAGCTGCTGCTCCAAAAGCCGGAGTGGCCGCAGGGGCTCCAAAAGCAGGCGCTGCAGTGGTAGCCGCGCCAAAAGCCGGCGTCGCAGCTGGTGCCCCGAAAGCTGGCGTAGCAACAGGAGCTGCAAACAAGGAGGAGGCAGCTGGAGCAGCTCCAAAGGACGTCGTGGCGGTGGCTGCACCGAATGATGGAGGCGGAGCAGTCGTCGTCGCTGGTCGCGCGCCAAAACTGAATGCGCCAGTACCGGTGGCGGCTCCTCCAAGGCTGGTGTTCGCGTTCGGGGGTAAACATCTTGGGAAAGCCCTCTGACCGATTTACACACTAATTTTATATATTTAAATGTACTTTATTGCTACAAATTGCGAAATGTATATTGTTTAATGTGCGAAAGCATCTGAAGCTAGCATTGCTAAACCAAAGATGATACCGATAGTATCGATAGGCAGTCAACAGGTCTGCATCCAATGAGCAATCAAAATCTTTAATAAAATATGTGTTAAAAATTGCTTAATAAAAATCAGAATTTTATTAATACATTTTTTGATAAATATATCACATTTTCTTGGTTACATTTAGGAACTATTAAAAAAATGAATATTTATTATTTTAACCCTATTGACTATGGTAATTGAAGGAAAGACAGTAAAACAGGGTTAGTATTTGATCTCACAACGTTAGATTTTATTTGTAACAGGGTAAAAAGGTATTTGTAAAAAGTAAAATAGTCCAAGATATATAAAATTTTTTAGTAATATGAGATATAAGCCGAATAAATCTTTATATAATACCTAATATATAATAATTAAAATATAAACCAATTCCGAAGTGAATCAATATAATGAATTTATTTCAAAAATATATATAAATAATAATAATAATATCGATATATTATCGACATTTGCCATTCTATATAGTTTCGCAGCATTTAGCTTTATTAAACGTTGGACACCCACACTAACTTGGCACTGTGGTGAGTTTGCGTGTATGTGACTTCGTCATATGACATTTTTCACAGTTCGTCGTCGATTTTAAGTCTGTCGCACTTGCTTTTTTCGACTTGCACAGTACACCACGGCGAGGAAGTAGTAGTTGGGATAAATCATGGCCAGCCAGACGCAGGGAATCCAGCAGTTGCTCGCTGCCGAGAAAAAGGCAGCTGAGAAGGTCGCCGAGGCCCGTAAACGTGAGTTTTCCAATTGCCAAAAAAAACTATATTTTCATTCCAATTGAAAACGCCAAATGGAGGGCGAAAAGTAACTGCGATTTTTTCACCACCCCTGCGCTTCCATAATCGCCGTTGTGTGTGGGTCACATGATGTGGTGGAAAAAAGTAAATACAAGTCGAACTTCCATAACTCGGATTTTCTTATATGTAATTAGCTACAAACTTGCTATATTTGTTTATAAAGAGTGTATATACAAGTAATATCATTTATATACCTAAATATTTGATGTGGCAATTAGTGTTTTGAGTTATGGAAGCTCAACTTCAAAAGGTTCTGGAGTTGCAATACTAATTATTTTGGATTTTTGGTTAATCCCTTAGGCAAGGCAAGGAGGTTGAAGCAAGCCAAGGATGAGGCCACCGAGGAGATTGAGAAATTCCGTCAGGAGCGCGAGCGCGCCTTCAAGGAATTCGAGGCCAAGGTGAGTTGATATGATGAAGACCCTCCCTCCATATATAATATAATACCCCAATTCCCTACTTTAGCACATGGGCAGCAGGGAGGGCGTAGCGGCTAAGATCGATGCGGATACCCGCGTCAAGCTTGCCGACATGGACCGGGCCATCCAGACCCGCAAGGAGCCAGTCATCCAGGAGATCCTGCAGTACGTCTACAACATCTCGCCCGAGGTCCACAAGAACTACAACCACAAGTAAAAAGTTGCCTCCCAGCGAGCTGCTCTGTGTGCTGTAAATTCAATGTCCACGTTCAACTCTAATCTAATAATTTAGACCCGTAATAATAGTGGTTATATCTTACTGAAAACACTGCTGTATTATTATTCCATACATTAAAGTGAAAATTCGTTGTTGTTCCATGTAAAAAAATAATAGCGAGAATATTAGTTTGTCTCCCATCTGCTCGGGATTGTATTAATTTTTGTTTTGTGTTTTGCCCAATACACGTTGTTGTTTTATCTGAAAAGTCATGTGTTTCATTTGTTTTCCTGATTTTGGTCTTGCACAGATTTTCTATACCTACAGTAGAAGTCAGCTGCTATGTGATAAGATTTCTCTGTAGGTGGGTTTCCTCGGTTTTCAACACTGAACCAGGCGATAGTCTGCATATTTGGTTTATGACGTATTGAAGATAATAAAATCCCTATAAAATATAAGTATGTAAGATAATTTATTAATTATTTATTATTAAAATAATCTGACGTCTTATAAGGCATAATATCACTATTGAAATTACAATATCCAAAGAAGGCCAATATAGATATTCATATATCTCGTAATTTCCTTATTTTTGGTAATATTGATAAATAGATAATAACCCATATCTGGTATTGATTTTATCAATATCATACAAAAATATACAGGAAATGAGATTATATTTTTTAAAATAGGTAACTGATTTTACACCTAAATAACTTAAGGCTTAAAAACAGTTACGTAAATAAGCATTGAACAGTTTAATAAAATTTATTTTTTATAGCGTTATCAAACAGTCTCACTTTTAAATTTTGCGCTTAAGTTATCGATACAAAGTCGAAAGACAATCGACAATCTCCCACCACCACAACTCATACAGTTTATTGCAGAACATTGGCACAAACGGTTTTACGCTCTCTGTTCTCGGCCGTAAAATCGACGGAAATTGATTGATAATTATAAACAAAAATAACTGGTGCAAAGTGCAATAATTACTTGTGATATTAGATCGTAGTTTAGTAAGATGAAAGTTGATTTGATAAAAGACCTCGCTGTTAATTTTGGCAACTAACGCACACCGATGCAGATGCCTTGTGAAAGCGGCGAAGAGGAGAAAGATAGAAGAAAGATTTAGCGTTTTTGGCTAGATTTAAAATTTGCTCACTAAACAAGATGCTAAATTTAGGCAATGCCAAAGTTGCCGCTCTGGAGGAGGCCACCTCGCCACCCCCCTTTTCCAAGGACGAGAGCTTCCAGTTGTTAGAGCGCGGTGCCCCCTCCCCACCTTCTGTCCACCTGGAACCACCATTCACCACCCCACTCGCTCCCTTTGACATGGAGCTAATGAAACGTCACAATCTGCACGAGCGACTAACGGGAAAGGAAAGTTTATGGGGTGGAAGAGGATCGGGATCTCAAAGATTCGTGGACCAGGAGAGGATATCAGCATCGCGTGAATCACTCAGCACCGCAGACAAGAGAGCCAGATTTGCAGAGAGGTAAGGTTAAGTTTTTTTATTAGTGAAACCACAAAAGAGCGGGAAACCCCATTCAGACCTTTTTCGGCCGAGGAAGTGGCCATTAAAGTTAATTGCAGTTCTCTGCTTTTTGTTGTCATTTTTCTGTAATTGAGTTTGGTTTTGTGTGGTATACAGGGTGTTTATTCATATTACTAACAATAATTAATAATTATAGTAATATTATTCGATATGGATAAAACCTGATTATAGGTTTATTATTAAATGTTTATCTTGAAATGTTTGCAAAGAACATTGTTTTCAATTTGCTCGGTTTATCGAAGAAAGCCCTGCTCATGATTATTTATTTTTATTTAAATACCCTCCTTTAAGGAACAAGTAGTTACTGATTACTGACTATCACTTGTTTCGGTCTGTGAAGGTTTTCTTTATTCCTTCTGCCTTCTACAGACTTTGAGATTGTTTCACAAAAGTCGTTAAGATATAAACTATGCCAAAAATGAATAATAACCAAGATTCTCTTATATATAAAAAGTGAACATTATCTGGTGCTCCATTCTGAAGGCCCTGTATAAAGTCGTATCTTTTATTCTTTTGGAACATAAACACAAGCTGAAAAGAGTGTATTTGTTCAAACACATGAAGTGCGAGTCTGTGTATATCAATATTAAGTTTGATTATTTTCATTTATCTTAAATTTTTGCTGAGGCATGCTTTTAGTGACTCACAGAAGTAAGGTGAGTCCCCATCTGAACAGTCCACTTGATATTTATCAACTACAAAGAATTATTTATACAAAAAAAACTCAGTAATTACCCATTTTTATAAGTTTTATCGATCCATTCTGTTATCATTAATAATGTAATATATTTTCCTCAAACGGGAAATGCAAAATTTATTCTGTGCTCTCGTTTAAGTAAGTACACAATTATAATCTTTTATTTACATTGAAAATGGCTATGTGTATAGGTAAAGTGCACTTGACATCTGAATGATCAGTCGGTGTCTGGGGGTTCAGTAAACATGTGCTCAAAGCTCTCTCAATTGAGGGTTTCTCGCTCTCAATGGAACAGCTGACTAAGGGAGATATGTATGTGTATATGCTATAGGTAATCCAAGGGGGATTGGGGCTTGGAATCCCCACCCGGCGAAACAGCTCAGCTGGTTCCGCTCTTTGCTCAGTTTGTTGTCTTTGCTGCTGCGCGTTGGTCGCCGCTCATTCCTCTCCAAACTTATTTGTTGGTTGCCATTGCCAACGTTCGTGGACTTTAATTTAGTGTTTATTAAATATTTGCTCGGACAAGAGGTTGAATTTTCCTGCAAGACTTTCCGCGGCTAATGTGATTAGGTTCTGTAAGTTCACTAAACCAAGACAAACCGATCACCTTTCAAACGGGTTTCTGTTTGCCATATTTCCGTATGGTAGCATTAATCATCGTTTCGGGAGAAAACCAAAAGACAATATTTTCTTTATCTGTGTTGTGTGTCGTGCATCGATTTTTTTTTTTTGTTTCTGTGTACCTTAAGTATTACGATCTCTGGGAGGATGAATAAGCCTTTGATGCATATAATCGGTGGCCTATGGGATCGGTGGCATTTTAGCCTAAACATCTAAATTATATAAGCAATTTTCGGCCACCTTTCGTCGTTGCAGAAAAAATACCCGAAAAACAAACCCCACACATGTTTAATAAATTAATGTCGCTCTCTTCTTCTCTTGGCCTTGATTAAAACAAGCGCCGAAAATTTCAATGCTTGGGCCTAGCCAAAATATCATTAAACCGTTTGTATGTAAATTTTAATCATAATTTTCATCAAAGAAGTTAAAGTTTATTTTGAGTTGTGCCAAGGCCAAAAAAGTGTAAAATGCTTGATGAATTGAAAAGTTTAAAGTTTAAAAGAGAACTTAGAAACCATAAAAACAAACAATAAGTTAGATTTATGATGATTTGTAAAAGTTTAGTTGAAAGTTCTCCCATTTTTGAAGGGATTATTGATGTCTACCTAACCATATTATACTTTTATTTGCCTTAGGTGTTAAATAATAAATGTTTGTATGTACTAAAAAAATAAATAGAATAATTAGTAAGATAACTGTTACTTGCCTTAAAGCGAAACAATTGCATAAATAAGTTTTGTGAGTTCCCTGAAATTTAGTAGGGTATTTTTGAGAGTTAAAAAGCTTAAGAACATAATGCAGAAAAGTTAATGTTAAATGGTTATAAAAGTATAACGCTGATGTATTAAAGATAAGAAAATCATTACACTTCATTGGTTTTAATCCCAAACTGTCTGCTTGATTGCTTATCAGCAGTCTGAACTCAATACATATTTATATATTATAGTAACTATAATTACTTATTTACATTTAATCGCTTACCTACTTCCTCCAGAATATATTGCAATATGTAGTTCAATTCTCAAGAATTACTCATTGCATTTTAAAGTCTAACATGTTCTACATCGACTACAGCAAATGAATCATTAGATATTTCCCCTCCAGAAATCTCATCACATGGATCTTTTTTTTAGCACACAAATATCAATTGTTTGTATGTAATAAATACAGTGTTTGTTAACTTTTATAGCTCATTTTCAACTCAACGCGAGCCACTGCTTTCCAATTCTGAGCAAACTAAAGTTATGATAACCGAAACATATGTTGAGATTTCTGGGTTTCCAATATATAGACTGCGTAAAGACTTAATTGCTGGGATAAACAAAGAAAATGTTAACTGAGGTCATCCTGTGCGTTTCCTCCGCCCGGCATAAATGTCCCATTAAGTGGGGCAGCTCGTTAAATTCCAGTAGCTTTGGCTCTCCCTTAAGATGACCTAAATATTGTTATTGAGGCTTTAATGGGATGTGTGTCCCATTAGGAACTTTCCGCACGACAGGAGACGCCGCCAGGGAAATTAAACGTGTTTTTTTCTACTGTTAACTGGATTCAAACCGTTTCACATAACATTTACTGGTTAAAAGCATTTTCGAGTTGACCATGAAATTAAATTTTTTTTAGTATTATATTGATAGGTTAAAGTAATTTATCAGAAATATTTTGAGGTAACCATACCTATTATAAGATTATAACATTCGAGATATAAGAGTATATCCTATATGCTTTTTTATAGAGAACCTAAATAATTGTTTAAATATCTGATTATTCTTAATCAGCTTTTCCTGTTAGGTGCGCATTTCGTTGCAATTTGTTATACAAATATTTTTTGAATGCATACAGTCTTTAAGGAGGTAGTAACGACTTCTTGTTTTTAAGATTTAGTTTTAGCTCAAAAAATTATCAACTAAGATAAACAACCTAATTAACCTTATCTATCACCATCCATTTTATAGCAACGCTTCTACGCTCCAACTGCCAGATTCTGCCGAGCCCCGGGCCAATGGCAAAAAGCCCACTGGGGACAGGACCAACCCATCGAATCCAGCCACACCCCTTCTGCCAATGACTGATCCGGATTTAGTGAAGGGCAATGCAATCGGCGTCTACGATGATCGCGAGTGCAGCTGTCCCAGGGAATTCTACCAGCGAGATGAGATCAATACCTCGCTGTTCTTCGAGGATTGCATCCGATCCATTGACTTCGTCCTGGCCTACAGGATCAATCCGCACGAGCCCACGGAGGTGGACAACACGGAAAAACGCCGTGTTTTCGAAGCGAATCTCAATAGTCAGGGCTTGGAGGTAGAGGCCAGCCAAAAGGATCAAATATGGTTTATTAAGGTTACTTTTTACATAATATATAAATTTAAAATAGTTCATTCATCATTTATTTTTTTAGATCCATGCTCCTTTAGAGGTCCTGCGGCGATATGCGGAGATTCTTAAGCTGCGTATGCCCATGAAGGAGGTGAGTTGATCAAGTTTTTGCTACGAGCTGAATCGGCAATTAAAGCATACTTTTAGGCAATTTTGAAAAATAAGCTAAAAATTTTCCAAAAATTTAATTTTGAATTTTTATTGTTATTTATGTTTTTAATTATGTTATATTTTGTATGATTTTAGTCGTTATGCAATTTGCGCATATATGAAAGATCGAATCGCCTGCGAAATGCGGCCCATTACCTGTCCAATAAGGTTGGCCAAAGCGTTGAAGTTGAACCAGTTAAATATTTTATTATTAATCCCCTAAAAATAATATTATATTATTTATTTTTCGTTTAGCATTTGCTGTGAGTTGTTTCAAATCAAACTTAAATCCCCAGCCTAACCTTGATAGAATATAAAGCAAATATAAAGTAGAAACAAAACTGCTTAAATGTTATTATTTATTATTACAATAAAAACTTTCCTTAAAACCATTTTAATAATAAATATTACTTTTTCAGATTCCAGGCATGTCAGTGGTTAATCGCTCAACCAAGAGTGTGTTTTCTAGTCTCAAAACTGTTTTCCAATTCTTCCTGCGCAACATCTACGTGGACGAGGAAATTTTTCCCAAAAGAGCACATCGATTCACCGCCATTTACAGTCGCGATAAGGAATATCTGTGAGTGTTCATGTATTTTGAATTTGATTTTGTGGTAATATTTATTTATCTTTGATTCCCGACAGCTTTGATATTCGCCAAGATTGTTTCTTTACCACCGCCGTCCGTTCCCGCATCGTAGAGTTCATCCTTGATCGCCAGCGATTCCCTGCCAAGAACCAACATGACATGGCCTTTGGCATTGAGCGACTAATTGCCGAGGGCGTGTACACTGCTGCCTATCCATTGCATGACGTGGGTGATAGATGAACTCAAGATTGACTTATAAATCTAATTTATTTATGTCCTTTACACAGGGAGAAATAACAGAGACGGGTACCATGAGGGCCCTGCTTTATAAGCATTGGGCATCTGTCCCTAAATGGTATCGCTATCAGCCCTTGGATGACATTAAGGAATATTTTGGTGTTAAAATTGGTGAGCTAAACTATTTTAAAATGAAGTAATTAACTTATAAAAATGTATAATTACTAGGTTTGTACTTTGCTTGGCTGGGCTACTACACATACATGTTGCTGCTGGCCTCGATAGTGGGTGTAATTTGTTTTCTATACTCTTGGTTCTCTCTTAAGAACTATGTGCCTGTGTAAGTTTTATCTAATAAATTTTTCTTATTAAGTTATCTAATTAAATGTTACATTTTCTAGGAAAGATATCTGCCAGGGTGCTAATACAAATATAACAATGTGTCCCCTCTGTGATTGGTGCAACTTTTGGGACCTGAAAGAGACCTGCAACTATGCCAAAGTAACGTACCTCATTGACAATCCCAGCACTGTGTTCTTCGCCGTCTTCATGTCCTTTTGGGCTACCCTGTTCCTTGAGCTGTGGAAACGTTACTCCGCCGAGATAACACATCGCTGGGATCTGACGGGATTCGATGTGCATGAGGAGCATCCGAGGCCGCAGTATTTGGCTCGTTTGGAACACATACCGCCAACAAGAGTGGATTATGTGACCAATATAAAAGAGCCAACGGTTCCTTTCTGGCGAATGAAACTTCCAGCCACGGTTTTTAGTTTCTCCGTGGTGCTGCTACTAATCGCATTGGCTTTTGTGGCCCTTTTGGCAGTGGTTGTATATCGAATGTCCATGCTGGCAGCTCTTAAAGTGGGTGCTAGTCCCATGACCACCTCTAGTGCCATTGTGCTCGCCACTGCATCGGCGGCCTTTGTGAATTTGTGCCTGCTCTACATACTTAATTATGTAAGTGGTTAGGAAAAAGTCATAATAATTTTTATGTTTGTAACTTATTAATATCACCTTTTAGATGTACAATCACTTGGCAGAGTACCTAACTGAGTTGGAAATGTGGCGTACACAAACCCAATTCGATGACTCTTTGACCCTTAAAATCTATCTGCTACAGTTTGTCAACTACTATGCCTCTATATTCTACATAGCTTTTTTCAAGGGTAAATTCGTGGGCCATCCTGGGCAGTACAATAAACTATTTGACTATCGTCAGGAGGAGGTGAGTTCTTAAGTTTAATTAATTATCATATATAATAAAACTATTTTAAATGATTTTTAGTGTTCTTCAGGCGGCTGTTTAACTGAGCTGTGCATCCAGTTGGCCATTATAATGGTGGGCAAGCAGGCCTTCAACACTATCCTTGAGGTGTATTTGCCAATGTTCTGGCGCAAGGTTTTGGCTATTCAGGTTGGTCTCTCGAGACTTTTTAACAACACCCCTAATCCTGACAAGACTAAAGACGAGCGTTGGATGCGAGATTTCAAGCTGTTGGATTGGGGTGCCCGAGGCTTGTTTCCTGAGTACTTGGAGATGGTCTTACAATACGGTTTTGTAACCATATTTGTGGCTGCATTTCCGCTGGCGCCATTCTTTGCCTTACTTAATAATATATTGGAAATGCGTTTGGATGCCAAGAAACTTCTGACCCACCATAAACGGCCAGTGTCGCAGCGTGTACGAGATATTGGTGTATGGTATAGGATTTTGGACTGCATTGGCAAACTTAGTGTGATTACAAATGTAAGTTGACCTCAGAAATCTAATGAACTTGGATTTGATTACCTTTTTTTTTAGGGATTTATCATTGCCTTTACCTCTGACATGATCCCGCGTTTGGTGTATCGCCATTATGTCAACAAGAATGGCACTTTGGATGGCTATCTCCAGTTTACCTTATCAGAGTTCAAAGTGGCTGATTCACCAACCTTGAATAGCTTAGCTGGAGATCTCTCTAACATAACCACGTGCAAGTTAGTCAAATTTATTAATACCATAACATTCTAGGTTTATTTATGGATATTCCTTTTTCCAGATACACGGATTTCCGACTACCACCATCGTCTCCGGAGAAATACACTTTGAGCAGCATGTTTTATATCATTTTGGCCTGCAGATTGGGATTCGTTGTGGTTTTTGAAGTAAGTAAGCTTCTGATAAATAAAACCTTGACCAAAAGATAAAAACTACCTTTGCTTTAGTTTCCAAATATATTTTTATTTACCTATTCCAAAAAATAAATTCCTGGACAACGGATTTAAGTTAAACCTCTAAGGGTATACCAGGATTCCAAATAATTTCAGGCATTAAATGTGTGAGGACTCTGGGGAATGATTTCGATATTCTCACTGGGCGCAGACTTAAGCTTCCGATAGAGAGCATAGATGCCATAAGAAAATAATGCATTGAGTACTAAAAAGTATCTTAAAGTTAGTAAATTGATAATTATCAAAGAGCAGGAAAACCCACCTATGAATATTCCAAAGATTAGACTTCGCGATATCCTGCGATCAACTGCGGCATCAACTTCGTCAATTCTGAGCTCCAGACTCACAAAAATGCCCGTTTCAACAGCCATTGATAGACAAGAATTGATTAACCAGGGAGCAATACAAACGAGTCGTTTCTTAAAATTTTTAATAAAATCATTTATAAGAAATGCCTTTAACTAGAGATATAGCGTTATTCACCTGCTTGATGCCATCGACAAGAAGACAGGCCACCATTAGATTTATCAACGCCTTTACCCAAATTATAAAAGTTGCTGTCATGTAGAAAACCTGCGAAAACTCTCGTACCCATAGATAGTTCACTGTAAAGTTTTAATTTTAGAATATGAAGTTTTGGTTTTGACTTTAAATTACCCAATGTGGAAAAGAAGGTACCAAAAGGAGTTAAAGCTTCTACTTCGGTATCCTGTTCCCATTTTTCGATATCCATGAAATCAAAATACAGATAATAGCTGGAGGGTCCCAATATTGATAGGGCTATTAATAGGTCTCCACAGGCTATGCTGAGGCCCACCGAGGAGAGGCTTAAGAACTCAAAATACTTCATTTTGTAAATGGTTTAATTAGCTTTAATTTGTTTACTGTTGAGTTATATTTATTATTATTATTTTTATTTTTACGAATTCTGATGTTGCTTTACTTTGGTATCCTTTTTATATCTTTGTATCCTTCTTATATCCTTCTTGTGTTTTTTGTATTTAGTTTTTCTTTAACGCGTCCGATTGCCTCGAGATGTTCACAGCTACTAACTAAAGTTCCAGACTCTAAGTAGAACTAGGGCTAATTATCCATTGGGTTCTTCCTTTATTCTATTCGTTTATCTTCCATTTTCTCGTGATTCCCTTTCTCTTATGCTGCTAAAATCCAAAGTCCATTCAGTTTAGTATGTTGCATGTGTTGCATGTTTGTTTTGCGGTGTCTTGCTGTGCCGGTTTTAGGTTCTAAGGGGTTTCTTTTTCGAATGAAACTCGACGAATTTGTTCCCAATTCCCCATATATTAGGGTTGAGGCTAGCACTTGTCTAAGCTGCATTTAGCCAATTGCATTTACTTGCCTGGAAAGTTGGCATTTCCAAGGCTTCTTCTGACCCCAAATTAGGTAGAAGAAACCATTTTACAAATCAGGGGCATTTGATGATGAAATATTCTGCATAAATTGGTTGGAAAGAATACCTTAACATTGATTTGTTTGCTTTTATGCTTTCAGAACTTTGTGGCGCTGGTGATGATTCTAGTCCGTTGGTGTATTCCGGACATGAGTGTGGAGCTGCGGGATCAAATCCGACGTGAAGTCTATGTGACCAATGAGATAATCATCGATCAGGAGGCCCACCGTGCTCGTTTTGGTTTGTTTTTGTTATTATTTAAAAATATTTCCATTTAAATTAATTTTTTTTTAATTTTTAGAGCGAGCTAAGCGAAGCAGTTCAGTGCTACAAACGCCAGTTGACCAAGACATGGATGCTGCCTCTATTCAAGAGCCAAACGCCAAGTTCATCAACATTGAAAAGCTACTTACAGAAAATCTCACCCAGATCGAAATGGATGCGATTATACATGGTGAAAATCCGACCACAGGCATCTCCGGTGCAGATTGCTTGGACCAAGTGCACAAAAATCTCGGTGACCAAGTCTAAAGTTCGTTCAACGTAAATCATTGTGTTATGGATGTTCCTTTCAGTCACTTAATTAGGCCTTAGTTAAGACTCTTATATTGAAATTGATTTCATTATTGCAATTGGTTTGCAATTTGGTTACAAGCTTTACTCATGCTTCATTTGTTTTATCAAAGCAAAGTAAATGTTATCTAGGTTATCCTTTTTTATGATACACTCGTATGAATTGTAAATGGCTCATTCTTATATTAATGCAACCCAGTGAGTGCCAATCTGTAAATGAGCACAAATTAGTATACTTTTATAAACTATTGAACATCACGGAATGTAAAATGTAATCTCCAAAGGACAACTCTCACTCATGTTAAATAACTCAGGCTCTCACATGACTCGTACATGAACATTTATTTTAGATAGCGTAACATATACATACATACAAATGTATTTATTGCATTCATTGAATTGTATATTATTGTTGATATACTGAAATCTCTATTTAATGTTGAATATGAAAAATAAACAAATAGTCAAATATTGGTGTACGAGTATACGATTGAAATTTGAGTGTGGTTTTAACTTTCGTTATTAATAGTTTAATATTGTTGATTTATAACATATTTAATTAATAAATATGTTTGATTTTATCAGCTTGAGTAATTTTATTGTTATTAAATTTAAATTTTTGCAACGAAGTTGTCCTACTTACTGAATATTTTTTCTTATTCGAAGTAAATTTGAGTTAAAAAGTTCAAGTACATTTTCTTAAAATTTATAAGCATATAATATTTATTTTGACTTATGTATTATACATATCAATATCAATACGCCCGACTGTTCTTATTGTAGCGCTTTGTGACGCTATCAGCCATCCCTGGTTGGCCAGAACGACCCCCTTTTGCCACCACTTGGAAGAGTGAAAGGGGGTGAGTTCCAAATGGCGCAACAAGCATGCATTTGGGCCAAGCACACTCGGCGCCACAGCAGGGGACTTCCTCAAGATACAGATATTAGTATCTGTACATCTTGGGTATCTCCGAATCACTCTCGTTCTCTCTTTCCCTCTCTCTGTTTCATTTTGGCTGCGCATGAGTCGAGCAAACGGTGACGTCACTCGTGAAAAGCGTGCGCGCTCTCAGCTGATTTTCGACCGCCCAGCTACGCGCACATGGCGATATGGCGTTATGGCGGTATCGTGAAAATACAACTCGCATACATTTTCATTCGCTTGCCTCGTTTTCCACAGTGCAGAGCAGAGGCTGAGCGAGCGGTTGACTCCTGTTACTTGGGTGATATTTGGCTTCAGTTTACGTCGCGGATTGGCAGGATAAACATCGCAGGACGAGAGAGAAAGGACAAAGGACGCAATGCCGGGCTCGATGATATTGGCCCCTGGCAGTGCATTCGTTTATTGCCCCAAGGCGCTGAGACCCTTTGGTGGCGTTGCCCTAGGATATTGAGTCCTCACGCAGAGCTACCCACAATTGTTGTCCTGGCAACTGAAAGTTTCGTATCCAGGGTCTTGTGGTGGGTCAAGCCTCGGTTCGCATCTCCGGGTGAGTCAATTAGTGCGTTGACAGTTCTTTATTAGTTTCATAATTAAAAAAGCATTCCGAGCTGCCATGCCCAACCAATTGAGGTTTTTGTGGTTTGCTGCATTACCCATTCGACCCGTGGTCCCACCTTGGCAGTGCTAAAAACAGTATTAACCGAAATGTATTTTTCAAATTTTGTTTTAAAAATAGCTCAGAAATATTTGTAGACATGTTTGGGCTTAAATTTTTTTAATTTATTTTACTTAAATAATAATTTAAATAATATTTTGTACAAATAAAAAAGGCCTACAAATTGGTAGTAAATCATGGGCATTACTAGTTTTTATGAGAGAATTAAAACTCATTTAAGATAGATTTTGGGGTGCCAAATTTACATACTTCTTGATTTTTCCTATTTAATAAAGCCATCTCTTATATGTTACAAACCTTTCTATTAGTTAAAGTTTACAAATGAAACAATTTTTTTTAGCAAAGAAACTATTTTAAATGCACACTAATGTAGCCTTGATTGAGTGTGGAAATGTTGGCAATTATGTTTTGTTTTGCCCTGTGCACCTCCCCCTTCGACTCACTCATTCTAGGTATTGATTTTTAGTGCCGGCGCCGGCAAATACTCGTATTTAAGTAAAGAAAGTTGACGCTGTCATTGTCCGTCTGTCATCTTTGTCCCGCCCAGGAATTGCAGTGGCCTTTGTGCGTTTTCCCAGGGAAAGGAGTTTGCCCAGGACCTTGGTTCTTTGTGCTGACAGACATTTAAATCCCACTAACAGGACAACGATGTATATCAGTGCAAAGTAAACAACAAAAGTTTTGGTTCCTTTTCACGGCAGAAAGTTCCTTGAACTTTTGCCAAAAAAAAAGAAACAAAAATGCGAAGAATATGAAAGAAAGGAAAATTCCCCGCGAGCTTTTGCAGCTCTCATGCTAATGAGATTGATAATTTTATTGATTTAATAATTCCGGCTAAGTGAATCATTCTTTATAATCGCCATCCGTGATGTTAGGTATTATTTCAATAATTGTAATTACTCAGTCGCCTAATGACTTCGATCGTTTATGCTGAGCCATTTTAATTATTTACACTTACAATGGATTTGCTTAACGGCCATCTGACAAAGTCGGCCGTCTGCCTGTAATTACCCTTAAGGCATATCATGACCGAAAACCTCCTGCTCGTATTAAACACACATTTACTTGGTTTCCCCCCTTATGTCACTCAGCTGGTGCTAAATAATGCACGGAGAGTGCAAAGTGTTTCTAGTTTGGTTCTGTCAGCCCTGTTTGCTCCACTCGGAAGTATCTGCCTTCCCTTGACATTGAATAATGATGTTGGGAGCGCTGTTGGCGTTATTAATGCTTTCTGAAGCGTAAATATGAAATTTTTGAATAACATGAGACCATCAAATCGAGCTCGACAACTCATTCAAACCGAGAATAAATTTTTAAAAAGGAACAGGACACCACCGGCTTGTTAAATCAATGAAGTGTGTGAAAAATTACGCATACGTCATGTGATACAGGTCATGGTTTTTCGCCTTCTGGCTTTCATATAAATTTTTTAAAATACGTCCAGTCATTTGATTATTATAGTAAACGTGTATCAAGGTTATTATTTACATTTACCTTTTATATTTGCCACTTTCTTCTTTATTTTTAAACCCGCAATATGTCGAATATGCATTAATCATCAATTTAAAATCTTATTTCACCTTTCGATTTCACTTATCATCTTGCAAACCGCCTTAAACTGAATATTAGGAACAAATTGCGCAAATTGAGTATACGCTGCGTTATGAAAACGAAACATTTCCGGTGCTCGCTGAAAGAGATTGATATAGGCACAACGATAAATTTTATAATTTAATTTGGGCTTCTGACTTGCATGCTTGCTATATTTGAATTGAAATTTCTCGTACTTGGCTTAAATAACATTTTCTTTCGATGTAAATTCTAGATTTTTGTTTGCACAAAAAATAGAAAAAGCATTCATTTTCCCAACTATGAGAAACCATGCGTAATTGTTAAGCTATCAAAATAAAGAAGCCCACAAAAAACAAGAAGTGAATAATGAACGCAATTTTCTTTCAACTTTCGAGCATAATGGATGAAAATAAAAGAACCGCTGAGTCATTTAAATTGGTTGGCCTTTTGTATGCACTTCCCAAACTTTGCGTTCATGAAAATTCATATATATGTTTATGTATATGTATCACTATGGCACACGCGATTTGCGTGCTTATAAATTAAGGCAACGTCTGTCACTGTGTATTTTGCTGTCCTTGAGCAGTCCTATAAATAGATCTGGCCCCCTAAAGACCCCCCAAAGACAACCGATGTCGAGTTCCGAGTTCCATTTACACGCCAGGAGACCCTCAATCCGAGGAACGTACCCCATTTTCCGCTTTCCCGCCAAGTACTGGCCATTTTGCTAGCACAATCGCAAATCCTATTTGATGATAATTTTCAGGTCTTCTGTCTGAACCACTCACAAAGTGCTGCCTGATGATTTACGATGCTTTTGGACTTTTCAGCAAGGAGTTGATTTTATTACCGTGGTGAAAGCATATCTGGTTTCGTTTTTGGGATAAACAATACGAATCTGCGTCATTCGACTCCTAATTAGTTTATTTTGCCCCTCATTTGCATTCGAATTAGCGATCACATAAATCCAAGCTGAAAAACAGAAAAACCCAGCATAAGCATAACTAATTGTTAGCAATCGCAATGACACTCAATCGAGTTTAATGAATATTGGCCATCATTTCTTTAAGCCGTTTCGTTATTTGTTATTTGGTAATGCAATAAACGAAAATTCTATGTTCAGAAGAAAACTGAAAATATATTTATTTTATTTTTTCTTACTTAAAATTCTATAACAAATCACATTGTCAACAAACTTAAAACAGATGGCATTTGAAAGATAGAAAAATGACAAACAAACCGGCAATTATTCCCCTTCAGTTTAATGTATATAATTATCACAATTGAACTTGGCAATAAGTACGTAATTCTTTCGTGTTATTCTATTTTTAAATAATTTCCTTCAACATAATTCAACGTCAGTTAATCACTAAATATCTAAGCTTATTTATTAACTTCCGCCATAAAAGCCAGAAATCCTATTCAATGTAAAAAACACAATTGATAATACCTTTGAATCAAATCAAATGTATCTTATCAATACCGAATTGATTGCTACATTAAAAGCTTAAGGGTTAATTGGAAAAAGAAGCATATTTTCTTATCTTCAAGATTTTTAATTTTTACTCCTGAATAATTTTAAGTTGTATTGACAAATCGTGGGCCAAGTTTAACTGTTACATATGCTTAAAAATATTAAATATGTTAAGCATAAAATTGCATTTGATTGCCGCGAAATGTCATTGGAATATCGAATCGTTTTCTATTATCAGCACTTTTCACTATCTAAATCTGTGCGATTTAACCCATTTACAATGTAGTTCCACATAAATGTTCTAAATGCATCCAAAGTGCAAATATAGAGTACAAGACTAATTATAATCCCACATATATAGGCGGCAACTGTGAGAGTCAACAAATGAGTAAGCAGATTCGTTGCCAAGAATCGAAAAACCTCACGAAAATAAAGATTTTTGGCTTAGCAGAAGCTCAATGTGAAGGTCGCAGGCAGAAATGCAATCGTGTCACGATGAGAAAAGTTAGATAAGGAAATTTATTAATTTTTGTTAAATTAGTTTGGCTTAGGCTAGATGAAGCTAAAAATTAATAATATTTACTTTAAATTACAAATATTTACTTATAAAGGATTTCATTAAATTGTAATTATCTAAAAACTAAAGAAAACTTATGGAAATATTTATTCCCACTTGCGGTTAAAATAGGAGAAATAGTACACATAAAATATTTTAAAATATAATTACTCTAATAATTTATTATATTTTTAAATTATCAGTTTTAAGATGCATTGCCTTAAAAGTTCCATAAGCATTACTTCTAAGAATTTTTACAGCTACTAAAAATTCTA